ACTCTGAAGGTTAATCCTTGCCCTGGGCGCCGTGTCCTGAGGTGTTAGGAAGGCCGAGCTGTGTTTGCTGTGTTGCTCACGCTCTGCCTCACGGCTGTAGTCTCAGTGCCTTTAACTGAGGGCTTCAGTTGCTGTGGGGACAGTGTGAAAGGAAGTGACTGGAAAGACTCCCGGGTCTCCTTGTGATAACTGGGCAGACACAGACCCTTCAGACAAGCAGAAGCGTAGGGAGAAGGGCACAGGACGAGTTAACGCGGGCATCTGCAGCTGTGTTCCTTTGGGACATCTGAGGTCACTGTGGGACTGCCGGCCAGGCCAACTAGGGAACAGTAAAGTCTTATTTATATGCATTTCAAGGTAGAATTAAGCAGTCTTGCTGAGGAATGAATGCATAGGTAGAAAACACGTACAGCCGAGCAGTCCAGCTTCCTGCTGCGGCCTGGGAGGCAGCAATGTTACAGACCTGGGAGTGGTCCAGCAGGGGACATCTGTTTCACTCTCTGGCTGTTTTATGTAGATTAAAACTTTTTTTTTAAATGTGTAAGGGGACCGGCATTGTGGTTTGGCTGGTAAAGCCGTCATCTGCCGCTCAGGCATCCCTGTGAGTGCCAGTGCTGTGCTGGCTAGGTCCCTTCTGCTGTAGCTATGGTGGAGGATGGCCCACGGCCTGGACCTGCCCCACACGCCTAGATGGAAGCTTTGGCCATTGCGGCCATCTGGGGGCCAGTGCGCGGAGGCAGGCTCTCTTCCCTCTCCTCCCCCTCCCTTCTCTGGCTTTCCAAATAAAAAGGAGAAAAACAGCTTCAGGGAGATGGACATGGGGACGTAATGGCCTCCTGTGAGCTGTACTAGGAGACACAAGCTCTTCAGTTGTACCTTGCTAGGCACATTTTCAGACCGTGAAAAGAGGTGGTGGCGGCAACCAAGACAGAAATGTGGTGCAGGGGTGAGGTGGGCATGGTCACGAGGACAGCAGCTGCTAGTTTCTCTGAGGTGGGCGCCCAGCTGCAGCTTGGCACAATAATCAAATCCTCAGACACAGGCCAAGTTCGTCGCACCTTCAGAGCTCTTCATTCAGGTTCCAGCTCTTACTGTCTGTGCAGCTTTAGCCACAAGGAGAGCATGGGCTTCCTGTGTGGGTTAGACATCCAGACACAAGTGCAGCCTGGAGCTGTGGGGATGGCCGTGGCCTTGGGATCAGGTGCCTCAGTGGATATCCCCTGGACGGTGACAGCTGGTCCCGAGTCCTGTTCTGTCCGGCCACCACTTGGGAGGTTATGGGCACTTGCAGGTACCGATCCCTCGGTCATGCCTTTGCGACTGTGGAACTTAACTGTGACTGTTTTGCAGGCAGCCCGCGCCCATTCAAGGATTCTGGATCGTCCCGGACATTCTGGGGCCCACGATGATCTGCGTCACCAGCACCTACGAATGCCTCACCAGGCCTCTGCTGTACGTGCCCTCTGTGCTCCTCTCGGCTCTGGTTCATCCCGCAAGGCCGGGAGCGGCCTGACTGGCCTTGCTTCTAACTTGAGGGTTGCAAAAGTGGATTTTTCTGTTGTGCCATTTGAGTTTCTGGTTTGTTCCTTTAACTAGCTGAGAATCAGCAGCTCTGCTTAGTGCTGAAGTACCAAGCCCCATGACTGCGTCAGGCTGAGTCATCTACAAGCCTAGGCCCCTGGCTTCTGCATGGCTCTCTAAGCGCCGTGCACAGCTAGCACTGCTGCCCCTGCCAGCCTCCCAGGCCCTCATGGCAGACGTTGGCGTGGAGGAGGGTGGGCTGAAGCGAGCTCAAGACCCCGTCACAGAGCCAGCATCCCTGTTTCCTTTCCAGGCAGCTCTGTGGGGTCGTGGCTTTATTCTTATCAAGGCAGATGTCACCAGAGTGGCAGACAGCAGAGCCACCTGCTGCCAGTTCACAGCCAGTGGCTCAGAAACTGCCATCACTTCACTGGTCTCCCCATCCTCTTAACACTGGCAAGTTAGAATATCTCAAAGGCAAGACAAGTAGTTAAATACTAACTGTTACATTAAAAGACTAAATCCTAACAAGTCTAAAAAATAAAGCTTGCTATAATAGGTTCCTTTGAAATAGAAAACAGGAATCTCACAGTAGGAAATAAGCCACTGAGCCTGCTGCCAAAGTTTGCTGTTTTCTAATTCTTTCTGAAATTGCCTCTGCAAATATTCTCACTTGATATAATTTTTTTCAAGATTTATTCATTTTTATTGCAAAGTCAGATTCACAGAGAAGAGGAGAGGCAAAACAAGCGGCTGCAACAGCCAGAGCTGAGCCGATCCGAAGCCAGGAGCTTCTTCCGGGTCTCCCACGTGGGTGCAGGGTCCCAAGGCTTTGGGCTGTCCTTGACTGCTCTCCCAGGCCACAAAGAGGAAGCTGGATGGGAAGGGGGCTGCCGGGATTAGAACCTGCACCCATATTGTATCCAGGTGAAGGCAAGGTGAGGATTTAGCCACTAGGCTATTGTGCCAGGCCCAAGTGAATGTAATTTTCAATGCTCAAGTTTTATGGAACCAAATGTTATAATCTAGCTATAAGCCAGTTACCTGGCTTAATACTGGTTTTCATTAAATCTAAGCCTAGAAACGAATGATCTTATGTCTCTGGCCTGCGTGTGAATTGGCTCACCAGCCCTTTGCCCACAGTGTCCATGTGTGTTTGTGCTGACTTTGCAGCATGAATCCCACGTGGCAGTCAGGTCGCTGTGACAGGTGGTTGTGCTGGTGAGAGGACAGCTTCCTGCACTGACCTAAAGTCGGGAACCAGGCATTCTCTGCTCTGCAGTGCCCTGCAGCCGTGCTTAGTTGGTTCTGTTTGTCTTACAGAAGTACCGTGCATCCAGCCTCGCCCCCCTTGCTCTGCACCCGCAAGGATGCTGAAGTGGCCGAGTCTCCGCTCCGTGTTCTGGCTGAAGCACCAGACTCCTTTGAAAAACACATTAGAAGCATCTTGCAGCGCAGCACTGCCAACCCGGCTTTTTTGAAGTACGGGAACTTGAGAGTGTAGCAAGTCTCCATCCTGCCTGTCATCAGCTGTCCCAGAAATGTTGACGATGGCAGATCTATCGGCTTGTGGGTGGAGAGTGCTGAACGCAGAGTGGGACGAGGGAGGGAGGTGGGAGCTGGGCCCGGCTTGTCCTCTTGCTTAAGGCGAGTAACTGGCAACTTGATGTTTCAGATCCTCAGACAAGGACGTGGCGCCCCCTCCAGAGGAGTGTCTGCAGCTGCTCAGCAGGGCCACCCAGGTGTTCAGGGAGCAGTACCTGCTCAAGCAGGACCTGGCCAAGGAGGAGCTGCAGCGCAGGTGCCGTCCCGGGGCCGCCTGTGGAGGCTGGGGAAGGGCATGGCCTGGCTTCTGACTCGACTTTTTTTGTTCTTGAAGGGTCAAATTGTTATGTGACCAGAAAAGGAAACAACTAGAAGATCTCAGTTACTGTCGGGAGGAGAGGTACGTGTCAGCACCGGGGAGATTAAGCAATAATCTCCCAACCTGAGAGCCGAGCCCCAGCATGTGGCTTCAGCATCGGGGGTCGGGGAGCCGCCAACCTCTCGTTTCCTGCTCCGTTAGGAAAAGTCTGCGCGAGATGGCGGAGCGCCTGGCCGACAAGTATGAGGAGGCCAAGGAAAAGCAAGAGGACCTCATGAACAGGTCGGTGACCTTCCACTCCCAGCTGGGCACTGCTCTGTGGAGGGCTGGGCACAGTCGGGCTGGGTGACAGGGTTTATCTGGAGCTGGCTTACACGGGTACCCAAGCAGGGCAGCTCCACAGCAGGCCGAAGACCCTGGGCTGCCACTGCTGTGGTGCAGGCCGAGGGTGTAACTCACAGTTGGAAGTGAAGAGCTGTCAGTGGGGCTACCAGGGCGGGAGACCAGCATGTCCCAGAGCACAGAGACGCTGTCCCTGGTCTCTGCAGCCACCCGCAGGCTGCATCTTCCCCAGCAGTGCTGTCACCAGCCCCTCCCAGCACACCCGAGCCACGCGGGGCCGCTCAGTGTCCCCTCGGCCAGGCAAGTGAGCGCCTGCCCTGGGCCACCGCTCACACAGGCCCGCCTCCCTGCGCCCGCCGGGGACCGTGGCACCGCTGGGAGTGCCGCGCTCCAGCTGGGCATCTGCCTGCCTATTTTGAAGGATGAAGAGAGTCCTGCACAGTTTCCACTCGCAGCTCCCAGTTCTCTCTGATAGTGAGAAAGATATGAAGAAAGAATTAGAGCGGATTCCTGATCAACTCCGAGATTTGGCCAGTGCCATCAAACAGGTATGAATGGATGCAGATTTTTAAAACAAATTATATAGAAGTAACTTCATCAAAAACATGAAGATACTGAAGCCACGTGGTGAACCATAGCCAGATTCCCGCTGCTCGCTTTGCCGTCTCAGGTCACCATGAAGAAGGACTACCAGCAGCGGAAGATGGACAGGGTGCTGAGCCCCCCGAAGCCCAGCATCACCCTCAGCGCCTACCAGCGCCAGTGCATCCAGTCCGTCCTCAAGGAGGAGTGAGTGGCCCGGCCTGGGAGGGGCTCCATCCTGGGGGGGGGGTGTCAGGGGCTCCAGAGCCTCTCCCAGGGAGGGTGGGCGCAGACCCCCGGTGAGGGAACGCCCAGTCTGTGGATGTTTCAGCATGGGCAGTTTTCCTGAGAAGCCCTAACGGCTGGCTGCGCTGTGGTTTTCACAGGGGTGAGCACATTCGGGAGATGGTGAAACAAATCAACGACATCCGGAACCACATCAGCTTCTGAAGCCCACAGTGTGAGACGGACGGCACTGCTTTAAAAACGGGCGTCGAAGATGAATTTTGGTCTGGTTGTTCATTTTTATATTCTGTTTTATAATTATTGAATAAAAGTTTTTATTTTAAAAGGTGGAAATGCCTGTGACGATACCCAGCGATGGCCCAGGGTTACTTCTGTGAACTCCTGAGGCGGCTGGCAGGCACACACTCGCCAAGGGTACAACCCCGCAAAGGAAGAGGCCACACGGTGCACTGGGCAGCAGCTTTTAATTGGAACACTTTGGGATCTTCAGTCCGCATCTGCAGTGGGCTCTGAGCCCGAGGGCGCGGCTGCCACCTGTCTGAGCCCGGCTCCACCCTGCCCCGGGGGTACCGAGAGCGTGCGAGTTCAGCACCTCACAGGGACACAGCGTGGCAGGCCATGGACGCGGCTCTGTCATCTTCTCATAGCCACTGTGAGCTCTGAGAGCAATAGCCAAGTCGCTGCCCCACGGGGAGTGTACAGGTCAGACAGGTTAGCAATGCGCAAGACAATGAGCTCAGAAACATTTGTAAAACCCAACTCTGTGATACTCTGTCCAAATGAGCCGAGCTCCATCTACATCAGATCTCACTGAAGCAGAAAACCCTGTTTAAAGAATTATTTCCTACCTAGTGTCCTTGTAGTTTGTGTCAGACCAGAAACCGACTTAACGGTAAACTGGAGTCTTGGGCAGTGTTTCTCAAGCAGCGGCCCTAGAGGTCACGACCTGTCCCCCGCCCTGGCTGCCAGCGTCCCCCGACTTCTCACCCAGCAAGCCTGGCCGGGCCAAGGGACGAGCCTTAAGCCTAAGGAAGTGCACTACTTTCTGCTCTCCAAATGCCAGTAACCTGGGATGTTGCCCTGACCTCGCATCCAAAGGCCCTTTATACCAATGGAAAGAACGCTTCATGCATGGCAGGCCTATAGCACTGCTTCCATAATTAGTATTTATTTTAAATTCATAATCGTGAAAGCCAAGACTACAGTAGTACCCAGCGGACAGGGTGAGGAGTCCTTGTCGGCTCTCCCGTAGGGGCAAGGTGAAGGTTTTTATAACAAATTTCACCTTAAACTAATTTGATGGCAACTCTAAATGAACCCCAAATGTACTTACTTGACAGATTCCCAACAGCCCGAGCCCCAGCAGTGTGGCCGCACCCCTGTGCCCTCTGCGACAGAGGCTGGCTCACTCCTCAAGCTCAGAACTGCCTCTGTCCCAGAATCATGGTAGCATGGTCGCTGCAGCTTCTGGTCTAAATCGTAAAACAAAAATACAAGGTGTCTTGTCAAACCCAGTTACCACCATTTTTGCATCGGAAGCAGTCCTGAAGCCCGTCGGCAAGTTCGGAGAAGGCCGCAAGTTGCTGGCTGCCCCTCAGCGTGGTTACTGACACTAGTTCCTTCACTGATCCACACCTAAGCTAAACACTGCGGAAGAGGACACGGCGCCAGCTGCTGGGTCTACCCTGGTACCTGTGGGCCTGGCTGGATGGCCAGCAGGTCTCAGAAAAAGTGCTTCCAGAAGCTTCTTGTGCTTTTCCTGTCCACTTGACTTGGCTGCACGTGTAGCTCCAGCCAGGCCTGCAGCTCCGTGTTCTTCAGCTGTTCCAGTGGCCAGCTGGTTCTCAGTCACGTCTCAGTAGCAGATGGTGCTCCAATGTCAGAGAAAATGGTGCAAACGAGACAGATGTGCCGAGGGAGGGAGGGGCAGTCAGCCAGCGGCCGCTCTCAGACTTCCTATTTTAATATAAAATACCCCTGCAGCACACTACACCGTCTGCCAGCTGCACAGTTACTGAGGAGCTCCTGACAACAGCAAACCTCGTGTCCCCAGGTCCCCAGAAACAGGAACGGGAACTCCAAACCCTAGAGGTGGGGGTGCTCCAGGAGCCGGCCCGCCCTGGCTCGCTGCTGCTCCGGCCACACCGTCCTCCCCGCTGGAAATAAGCTTTTCTCCAGTCTTCCTTTTGTTGTGACTTCCACTTCTTCAGTTAAGAGTTAAATAATAATTAATGTTGCTCTAAAGATGAGTTAAAAATCCAAAGTGCAGGCTGGACTCCTGCCACCACGTGTCATGTCTCGGGGAGCTGGTTAATGTCTGTCAGTTTGGTGTCGTTCAGAATGGCCCGGATCCTCTCCACAGAGTCCGCCTGCCGGATCCGCTCCAGCTGCACCTGCACAGACAGCGGCCGGTGAGCGCGGGCAGCTGCCCGGGCCCAAGAGGGGCACATCCTGACGCAGCTGTGAGACGGGGGGCTGTCCCGGCACCAGGAGCAGACAAGCCTAAGCTAGGAAGGGGCCAGCAGGGGACAAGACTGGGTGCTTGCCTGAGGTGGGGCTGGACCGTGGCCAGAACCACACGGACTAACAAAGCACAGGGATGTGGGCGGGCCTGGGTCGGGAGGAGCCTCACGGGTTACACGTCCCTGTTTATAAACTTTTTTTTCCCATTGATTAAAAGGCAGTGAGAGAGAACTGACAGTCCCTGAAAACCTGCTGCAGCTGCCAGGGCTGGGCCAGCCAAGCCTGGTGGCCCGGGCTCCATCCACATCTCCACCTGAGTGGGGACCCCCAGTTCCTCAGCACACCCCAGGAAGCTCCGGCAGGAGGTAGGCCTGGGCCCGGAGCCAGCACAGGATGCAGTGTCCCAGGCGGAGTCCTCCCCACTGCGCCAACCCTCCACCCTCCACTGTCCTCCGGAGGCGAAGTCCACGGGGCAGAGAACGAGAAGCAGCAGCGTCAGAGCGCCCCAAGTTGCTGGCTAGGGCGCCCAGATGGGGTGGTTGAAATTTTGCCCCTTGGCTGCGGGGAGCGGCCAGGGTCCGGTCCTCACCTGCAGGGTCTGCGAGAGCTTCACAAAATCCCTCTGGACTTGCTCACTGACGTCCAGCTCCGTCTGCAGCCTCTGCGCCTTGTTCTTCTCTTCAAACATGAGCTGCTCAGCCGAAGCCTACAACAACACACCTTGTGAGAGGGTCAGGACCAAAGGCCACAGTTACTGGGGCCCCTGAGGGCCCTGCAGCACCCCCACGGGGCAGAAGGCTGGCCACCCCTGTCATGCTCAGGGGACCCACCTGCTGCCATGGGAATGGGGACAATAGCTGAGCATGCTGACCCGGCCAGCAGGTGACCCAGCGAGGAAGCCTCTGGAAATAACGCTCCTGCCAATGCCTGGTGTCCCCATGTCAACACTCCCACAGGACTTCAGGAAACCAATGGCCCCGAGCGAGCCCACCCACAGGACCCTCCTGGTGAGCTGCGAGGGCTTCTCTACCCGGAGAGCCCTGAAACGCTCGTGCATAGGGTCTGCTGGCACACAGTGACACCCCCACCCCGGGGCCCAGGGGTGCCCTAGAGCTGGCCGTGGGGGCCGAGCACACAGGAGCCTCTTCCCTCTCACAGCTGAGCCCCGCCTGCCTCGCCCTGCTCCCCGGGCCGAGGGTCACCTTGGCGGCAGCCTCCCTCCTCAGCTGCTCCTCCAGGCTGCTCTGCGCCTCCTGTGAGCTCTCGAGCTGCTGCGACGTCTCTTTCAGTGTGGACTCCAACTGTGGGGCAGAGGGAGGGGAGGACGGGGTGCGGCTCACAAGAGCCCCGGCCTTGGGGAGCCTGCTCCGTGGCCTCATGCTCATTGCCCGCCGACAGGGCACCCAGCACAGCCAAGGCCAGAAGGCCAAGGTGCACCCGGATAACTCCAGCTCCTGACATGCAGCAAGTGGCACTATTTGTGCTAGTGAAGGAGGGGAGCAGATAGAGGGCTGGGGCGCAGGTGGGGTCGGGTAGGCAGGCTTCTGTGGGGAGCGGTGGCTGCCAAGGCCAGGAGAAAGAGAAAGGGCAGGGAGTGGGGGCGGGATCGGGTCCTGAGGACGGGCTGACGGGATGGAGGCAGAAGTGCACAAGGCTGGACCCCGATGGGGGAGTCAGGCACGGTGCAGCCTGGAGCGGAGAGGGACGGGGCTGTCCAGCAGCACTGAGGACGAGCAGAGCCCACACGGAGGGCCCTCCCGCAGCGACATCGCAGCAGCGCTAAGGTCACCACACCCTTGCACGACTGCCCCCCACCACGCTGGGCATCCCGGGCCACAGTCCCTCCCACGGCTGGCACAGGGTCCCCTGTCCAGGTCCCACTTTGAGGCAGGGACCTGCCCTGTCACTCACTCTGTGAGCCTCCAACAACAGGAGCACCCCTGGGTGCAGGGAGTGAAACCTGAACTTTAGGACTCACCTGCCCTTTTTCTGCTTTTACTCTTTCTAATTCAGCTTTCAGGCTAGAAATGGACGCTGTAAGGAAAGTGAGAAGTATTTAGCTTTCATTTACTATTTTGCATCACAACTGTTTTCTTGTAACAGTCCACAGGGTTCAAGTCTGTTCTGCAGGCGGCGAGGCGCCTTTCTCAGGATGGGGGAGCAGCCCCGCAGCGCGGCCATCCCGGGGCCCGGGCCCAGCAGAAGCAGCAGAGGCCAGGACAGCTTCCGGCTCCTGGCCAGATCAGACCACCCGAGCCCACACCGCGTGCCTGCCCACGCCCTGTTCTGTCTGCCAGCTCCCCTGCCCACGGACTCCCTGTGTGCAGCCCCTGAGCCTGTGTGACTGACCCCAATTCCAAACCCCCTCACCTATCTCCTCCTTGCAGTTTTCTATTTCCAGCTGCAGTGTTTCCTCAAGGTTTTCTTTTAAACACTGTTCTGCCTGAATCTGCTCTTTCAGGAAGAGTATCTCGGCCTTTAGCTTCTCTTCCATGTGGTCTGCTGCCGTCCGCACGTGGATGATGCTTTCCCGATATTTTAAGACCAGCTCCCGGAGTGCCTGCATCAGAGAGGCAAGGAATGAGCAAGGCCGCCAGGAGCCCTGTGTCCCACAGTGAGGGCCTGGGCCAGGTCCCCACGCCAGCTCCCGCACACCCCCGGCTGGGGACCCCAGCTCCTGGCTCTGGGTACTGCCCGGCCCCCACCCTCCAGCACGTGGGCAGCTCTCCCCAGCCCTCTTAGTGCTCTCTGGGACCACGAGGCCCTTGTCCCACCATATTTTCCCAGTCTGTATCCTCAAATAAAATATATACAAACATCTATTTGTTTACTTCAAAGACAGAATTACAGAGAAAGGTCTTCCGTCCACTGCCGCACTCCCCGGATGGCACGGTGCTCTAGGCCGGCCAGGACGCCCCAGCTCTCCCACGAGGAGGCCTCCAGGGGCTGGCAGGACGTGTCACCATTCAGTATGTAAGGGAAATAAGGAATTCCAACCAAAAATATGTATCCTGTAAACTACGTATTTTCCCACTCAAAGCTGTTCCACATACAGAAAAATTTAAATGCAAAGTGACTTGTACTGAGTAAGATTTACCAGAAGGTATAACTGAGAAATCTAATGTTTACATAAATTAGGAAGCAGTTAGAGAATGAAGATTCTAAAAGAAGCCTGGACTCAGAGGCAGGGGTGGTCTCTAACAGGGTACAACTTCCTGTCACCCACCCTCCTTCACTCACTCGCTGAACCCCACAAGCACAGCACTACGGGCAGACCAAGCACGCACAGTGCCACTTTCTAATGTGACGGTGGTGTGTCCATAACAAATTCAGTTTAAATTTATACTTTCACTAACTTTTAGTTCTTTTTCTTTTAAAGATTTATTTATTTTTATTACAAAGTCAGATATACAGAAAGGAGGAGAGACAGAGAGGAAGATCTTCCATCCGATGATTCACTCCCCAAGTGATTACAACGGCCGGGGTTGCGCCGAGCCAGGAGCCAGGAGCTTCCTCCAGGTCTCCCACAGGGGTGCAGGATCTCAAGGCCCCAGGCCGTCCTCAACTGCTTTCCCAGACCACAAGCAGGGAGCTGGATAGAAAGTGGAGCGGCTGGGACAGAAGCCAGCCATGGGAATGTTAGTCCCACAGGGCAGAGGACTAGCTTGCTATGCCACCACATTGGCCCCTTAAAATACTTGTTTAACAAGCATACTTTTTTTAAATGAAAAATGGAACTTAGCATAACAAAAGTTGCTCTAAGAAACTTCTGTTTTGTTTAGAGGAACTACCTGGGTTTAGCTCCTGTAGGTAAAAAGGCTTAGAGATGCACGGGGATAAATGTGGAGACAGTTACAGCCAGTTCACGATATCTCGGGGACACCAGGCGGCCCAGATTCCCCTGCTCACAGAGGGATGCAGATGACAAAAGTGTCGTTGTCATGGACAGAAAAGCAGTGAACGTGCAACAACCTTTAAGCCCCGGATATGAAGACAGACGTCGCGCAGGCCTGGCTTGCTGACTGAGAGGAACTAGAGACCTCGGATTTGGTAAAGGTTTCTCAGACATGACAACAAAATTAATCAAAAGTAACAACTTTCTGGTGCCTGGCACTGTGGTGCCGCAGGTTAACCCACTGCTTGTAATACCAACACCCCAACATGGTTTGGGTCCTGGCTGCTCCTCCCTGGTAAAAGACCATGGATGACGGTCACCCCACGGAGTTCACACACCCTGCTTTCCCCGTGGGGGACCAGCTGGAGCTCCTGGCTTCTGGCTCAGCCTGGTCCATCCTCAACTGCTGCAGTCATCTGGAGAGAGCCAGCAGATGGAAGAGCTTCATATATTCATATATTCATATTCCTTCTCTCCCTAGTACATTAATCTTAAAGATTTTTTAATTGAAAGTCAGGTTTACAGAAGGAGAAATAGAGAGCTTCAATCGCTCCCCAAGTGGGGTTGCAATGGCCGGGGTTGAGCTGATCCGGAGCCCCTTCCGGGTCTCCCACATGGGTGCAGGGTCCCAAGGCTTTGGGCCGTCCTCGACTGCTTCCCCAGGTCACAAGCAGGGAGCTGGATGAGAAGTGGAGCAGCGGGATTAGAACCAGCGGCCATATAGGATCCTGGTGCGTGCAAAGCTAGGACTTTAGGCATGGGACTATCGCACCAGATCCCCCCCTCCATATTAGTAAGTCTTTAAAAATAAAATAAAAACTTTGATAAAGTGACAGACTGTGCAGAGACTGGAACAAGCAGTTGAGAATCACGTATCTGCTACTGCACATGTGCAGAATATATAATGAGCTCTTACAATTCAACAATGAAACGGCAAATGATCTTGTGTTAAAATGACCGAAGGACTTAAGCAGCCATTTCTCCAGGGAAGACACACACACATTGCCGGTGAGTCTATGAAGAGATTCGTTGACACCACGACATGAGGGAAACACAGCAAAGCCACCGTGAGGAACACTTCACACCCATGAGGAAGGGTCAGGGCACAGTGAGGTAACACGTGTGCCAAGAACGTGCAGGAATGTGGGGCTGGGGTTGTGCCGTAGCGGGTTAAGCCGCCGCCTGACACTACTGTGTTAGAGCAACGGTTTGAGTCCTAGCTGCTCTGCTTCCGGTCTCCCTCCCTGACACGCCCGAGGACGTGGGCCCCGCCGCCCGTGTGTGAGACCCAGCTGGAGGTGCAGGTCCCTGACGTCAGCTTAGCCCGGCCCTGGCCGCTGCAGCCAGTGAAGAGTGAACCAGCCGACGGCCGACTCTTCCTCTGTCTCTTCCCATCTCTGTCATTCTGCCTTTCAAATAATTTTTTTAAAGATTTATTTATTTGTATTGAAAAGTAAGATATTTTATTTTCGGAGAGACAGGACAGACGGCTGACACACGCTAGCACAGGGAGAACACTGCAAGCGTTACACTAGGGCTGGCGGAGTGGGGCGAACGGGAGCTGCTGCCGGTGCCAGCACCATCCTACATGGGCGCTGGTTCAGGACCCAGTTGCTCCACTTCCAATCCAGCTGCCTGCTAATGTGCCTAAGAAAGCAAAGGAGGATGGCTCAGGCCCCCGCACGCTCACGGGGGACCCACAGCAGCTCCTGGCTGCTGGCTTCAGACCAGCCCAGCTCCGGCCAGAGTGTGAACCAGCACTGCGAGAACTCTGTGTCTGCCCCTCTCTCTCTGGAACTCCGCTTGTCAAATAAAATAGAAAATTGTAAAAAAAAAAAAAAAAAAAAATGCTGAAACATTAAACAAATGAAAGCAGGCAGACACAGACAGCCATGCGCTGTGACTGCCCAGCGGAGCCCGGAATGAGGAGAGCGCTCCGGCAGGCGCGCGGAGGGCGGCCGGGCGACAGCTGAGGAGCTGGTCTGTGTCCTCCAGCTGGGGCCTGACCGCACGCACCTGTGACAGGCTCACAGCGACCCATCCCACTTTCATGTACTATATATTTTTTTTAATTTTTATTTTAAAATTTGAATTTTATGGTACAATTCTGTAGAGTCTGGGATTCCCCTCCCCCAATTCCTATCCCCTGACTGATTTTCCTTTTATGTATTTTTAAAAACATTTTTCTGATTGTAAGTCAGAGAGAGAGGGATCTTCCACCTGCTGGTTCGCTCCCCAGGACCAAAGGCCAGGCTGGGCCCGACCAAAGCCGGGAGCTAACAGCCTTTTCCATGGGGATAGCAGTGGCCCAGGCCTTTGGTCCATGCTCATCGCTTTTCCCAGGCCATCAGCAGGGCACCGCACGGGGAGTGGAGCAGCCAGGATTGGAACCAACACCCACACGGGATACTGGCATTGCAAGCAGCTTTACTGCGATGCCACAATGCTGTCTGGAACTGCACACTTTAAAATCTTGAGATATGGGTCCGGTGGTGTGGCCTAGTGGCTAAAGTCCTTGCCTTGAATGTGCCGGGTGCCGATTCAAATCCTGGCAGCTCCATTTCCCATCCACCTCTCTGACTGTGGCCTGGGAAAACAGTCGAGGACGGCCCAAAGGCTTGGGACCCTGCACCCGTGTGGGAGACCTGGGAATGGTTCCTGGCTCCCGGCTTCGGATCGGCGCAGCACCGGCTTTTGCGCTCACTTGAGGAGTGAATCATCGACGGAAGATCTTTGTCTGTCTCTCCTCCTCTCTGTATATATGACTTTCAAATTTAAAAAAATTTTTTTTTTAATTAAAATCTTGAGATACGAGTCCAGTGTTGTGGCACCAAAGGTAAAGTGCCACTTTCAATGCCAGCATCCCATGTGGACACTGATTCAAGTCCTGGCTGCTATATTTCCTGTGCAATCCTTACTAATGTCCTGGAAAAGAAGCGGAAAATGGCCCAAGTCCTTGGGTTCCTGCCACCCACATAAGACTTCCTGATGAAACCCCTGGTTCCTGGCTCCGGCCTGGCCCAGCCCCAGCCACTGCGGCCACGTAGGAAATAAAGATATTCTCTCTTTCTCCCCCTCTCTACTTCCTTCCATCCTTCCCTCTGTAACTCTGACTTTAAAACAAATAAATCTTTTTTAAAAAGAAAAGCTTGGACTATGGGGTGGTGTTCAACACAGTGGTTAAGACCCTGGGATGCCTCCGACATAACTGTGCCTGGTTCAAGCCCCAGCTCCACTCCCAATTTCAGCTTCCAGCAGGTGATGGTTCAAGTACGCAGGGCCCTGCCACCCACATGGGAGCCTGGACGGAGCCCTGGCTTGGGCCTGGCCTGGTCACAGCTGCTGCAGGCACTGGGAGTGAATCGAATGGAAGATCTGTCTGCCATTCCCACACAACGGAATAACATAAACAAAAAGTTGAGCTGCCCTGAATGGGACTGACACGTCGATGCAGCTGTTAGAGGAGGTGCGTGTCGTTACCTCGGCAGTGTCCGGGAGGATGGAGTCTTCAGCCTGCTGCAGCGACACATGCAGGCTGTGCTTGCCCTGCAGGCTCTCATTATCCTTCTGTAACCTCACCAGCTCTTCAGAAACCTGTTCCCGGGACTGTACCAGCACTGCCTGCAAGAGAAACAAACAGGCTTGCTGTGAGGAAGGTGCACGTGGCCTGCAGTCGGCACCACCAAGCCAGGAGAGAGGCGGGGAGAGGCGGGGCCAGGCGGGGACGGTAGAAAGGCCTGCAGAGCCACAGAGGCGCAGCTGGGGGCGCTCAGAACCTCAACGAGCTGCCAGGAGGCCAGCAGCCTCACCCCCCACACTGTCCACCCATCTGCCCTCCACAGTCCCAATGACAGGGACTGCTCAGCACGACAGTGACACACACAGTTGAGACCTCCACTGGACGGGGCTGTCTCCTAGTGGCCTGCATTCAACAGGAAGCCTGGGGAGACAGATGCGCACAGCTGGCTCTGCTCGCTCCCCGGGTCACTGAATGACCGGGTGGCCCCGGGAACTGGAGGTCAGCAAGAGGAGCCAGGAGGGGGCCAGCGTGAGCTGCCTTTCAAAGCAAGTTTCAAAAAAAAAAAATTTTTTTTTAAAATCAGTTATTCTTGCTAACTTTTAATACTAAGTGGTACGGTTTGGACTCAATTCATGGGTGTCACGGGGCAGCATCGTGGCTTAGTGAGCAAAGCAGACACCGGCAATGCCGGCGTCCCATGTGCGCCCTGGCTAAGAGTCCTGGCTGCCCCACTCCAGTCCAGCTCCGTGTTAATGAGCCAGGAAGGCAGCTGAAGGCAGCCCCTGCAGCTATGTCGGAGAGCTGGATGAAGCTCTGCCTGCTGCAGCCATGGGGGAGTGAACCAACAGATGGAAGATTTCCTCTCTCTCTCTTTCAATTTCAAACAAATAAATCTTAAAAAAAAAAAAAAAAAGGAAGGAAGGAAACAATGCCGTCACCAGATGTCTAACCATCAGGGTGGTTTAATCTTGATCTTGTACTATGAATCTCCAAAACTATGGTTTACCTTAGAATTTTTTTTGAAAGGTTTATTTATTCTCATTGGAAAGGCAGATTTACAGAGAAGGAGAGACAGAGAGGAAGATCTTCCATCTGCTGGTTCACTTCACAAATGACCACAATGGCCGGAGCTGAGCTGATCTGAAGCCAGGAGCCTCTTCCGGGTCTCCCACGTGGGTGCAGGGTCCCAAGGCTTTGTGCCGTCCTCGACTGCTTTCCCAGGCCACAAGCAGGGAGCTGGGTGGGAAGCGCAGCAGCCAGGAGAACTGGTGCCCGTAAGATGCCTGGCTTGGAGGCGGAAGATTAGCCAGTTGAGCTAATGTGCCGGCCCCTTTTCTTACATTAACAGGAAGGTGACCAGCACACTGAGCAGCACAGATAAACGCGGGTAACTCACCCAGCACACATTAGCAGCTGCTGCACTAAGCTAGCTACTCCAGTGCCCACAGGGAATAGAGACCAAACGCAGGATACGCCAAAAAGCAGCCTCCATACCAGAAGGGGCTAGGAGAGACTGTGAGAGAGCAGAGGCCCAGGAGAGCCGGTGAAATTTCAGGTGAGATCAACTTGAGTATTGTTTGCAGAGGCAGCTGTGTCTTAAAAAAAAAACAAAAAAAACAAGGGATTCAAGGGAGGCAGACCAGGGGCCATTTCTCCACCTTCTCAAATGAGGAAACGCACAGGAATCCTGCAGAGCACGGTCAGGGTGCGAGGCTTGCTCCAAGAGCAGGTCTGCACTCAAGGTCAGCTCCCAGGCCCTTGCGAGGCCGACCCAGTGCCAGGCCAAACCACCTGCCAGGGAGAGGACGTTTGGCACCCACCTCCCACATCAAGTGCCTGGCTTTCATTTCTGCCTTCCGTTCTAGACTCCAGCTTCCTGCCGATGCACAGGTGGCTGGACCGGACAGCAGTCCCCCAGGCCGCTCTGCTAGGGAAATTGTCCGCCATGATCGTTCTTAGGGCCGGGCACCTTGGGGATCAGGGCACTGTGGCACAGTGGACAAAGTCGCCACCTCTGGTGCTGGCAGCATCCTATATGGGCAGGGGTTTGAAACCCAGCTGCTCCATTTTCAATCCAGCTTCACGCTGATACCCTGGGGAAATAAGCAGACAGTAACCCAAGTACTTGGGCCCCCCGCACCCAGAGACCCGATCAGGCCAGCTCCAGCCACTGCGGTCTTCTGAGGAGTCAATCAGCAGATGCAAAATCTTTCTCTGTAATTCTGCTTTTTAAATAAATCTCAAAAAAAAAAAAAAGATAGAATTGAGAACTTCTGGAATATTCCTAGAAGTTCCAACACTTTTTTTTTTTTTCACAGCCCATGAAATAAACAAAGTCACTCAAAGTAAATCAGCTGTCCGGAAAAAGCAGGGTAACTATCCAAACCTCATCAACAACTCTCAGATTTTATTTTTTTTAGCTTATATATTTTAATGATTTAATTTTTCTTTACGTGAAAAGCAATTACATTTAGAGACAGAAAGATATCTTCTGTCCATTGGTCCAGTCCCCAAATGATCACAAAGGTTAGGATTTAGCAAAGCCAAGCGCCAAGAATTTCATGCAAACCTCCCACGTGGGTGCAGGAGCCTACGCACTGGACCCGTCCCCCGCTGCTCTCCCAGGCACGTCGGCAGGGAGCTGGACAGGAAGTAGAGCGGCCAGGACTTGAACTGGCGCCCACAGGGATGCCGGTGCCAGAAGCAATGGCTTTACACACTTTGCCACAACACCAGCCCCTTAGTTTATATTCTGAACTGAAAATTGCAGGCCATGGTATTGTTTTAGTTTTCTTAATCAGAAAAATAAATTTAAAACAAGAAAAAATTATTTTTATTTTTTTATGAAGTAAATTGTTACTGCTTTTAAGGATTTGTTTGTTTGAAAGGCAGAGTTTCGGAGACAAAGCTCTTCCATGCACTGGTTCACTCCCCAGATGGCCACAACAATTAGAGATGGGTAAGACCAAAACCAGGAGCCAGAAACTCCGCATGGGCAGCAGGGGCCCATGCACGTGGGCCATCTGTCGCTTTCCCAGGAACATTAGCTGGGAGCTGGATCAGAAGCAGAGCCAGGACTCAAACTGGAGGTACCCTGCCAGGGGATGCTGAGAGCACGAGGAGTTCTGCAGGCGCTGGAGACACGCCAAGCACCTGTCTTGTGCCAGTGATACCGTCCTGGCACCGAGACCTCAGCACAGCTCAGAGGAGCACAGCACATGGCCATTGTCCACTGCAACGTCACTCACCATCTGCTCCCGAACATCCCTCTTCGCCTGGGCAAGGCCCTGCTGCAGCTCTTCCAGTAACACCTCGGATGCCTGGGCTCGCAGGATGAGGGCAGAGATCTTGTGGAAAAAAGCACACACAGAGAAAACATGCTTAGAGACTGGCTAATCTGAAACCCACTCTTCCATCTCCAGATTGTTTAGTATCAAGAACTGGCAACTGTATCCACTCTGGGCAGCCGCTCGGTCACTTGCTCAGCAGACCCATGCCATCCCCACCAGCCTTCTGGGTGCCAGAAGGCAATGGCCACCCACCACAGACAGCCCTGGGTGGGGGTGGCCTCCAGACACAGTGGAACCCATGCAGCCTAGTCGAGGACCCTCTTGAAGGAGCTGAGACAGGTGACACACACACACAAGAAACCATCCACACTTAAGTGAATTTTTGTGAACTAGTCGTGGCCTCCCAAGATGAGTCACTTGAGAGCAACACACACACACAATTAGCCACACTGGACTCAGGAGTGGCTGAGCTGCTTGAGGAGGAATTTACTGGTATGTTGTTAAGTATACATGAAAGAGCAGGGAGCATAATCTTCCAGACATTTCCCAAGTCATCAGTCAGAATTTTACTTCTAGTTTACAAGGGCAGAGCAAGAAGAGAACACGTGACCCGTGACCCACCTTTCCGGCTGACAATCTGAAGACCTGAGTAAACCTGAAAAGTCACTCTGAAAGCACTGAAAATCAACCAAGCAAAAAAGAATCCCAAAGCGAGATGACAACGGAACACCTGGGGAGTGGCGCACGCCCCTAGAAGGGAGCAGCAGCTGTGACACCATCAAGTGGGGCCAGGACCCACTGAGAGCAGGGATCCCCGACAACCATCACTTCATTTGACAAAACAGACAAGCAGAACAACTGAACGCAGCCCTGAAACTGGTCCACACGCATACTCTACTCAGCAGATGACAAAGATGGCCTTGGAGAGCATATGAAAAACGAAATCATAACATGCATCACATAAGCTATACTGCTGGCACACATCAGTTCTAGGTTGTCTTTTCATATATAATTATGAACTCTAAACAACAAAGCTTCTACAACATATACAAAAGTATTCTCATAACTCCAAGATAGAAAAAAAAAACTAAGAAAAAAAAATAAAGGACAAAGCCAGTACTGTGACATAACGGGTTAAGCTGCCATCTGCAATGCCAGCATCCCATGTGGGCACTGTTTGGAGTGTGGCTGCTCATTTCCACTCCAGCTCCCTGTTAATGCCCCAAGTGCTCGGGACCCTGCACCCACACGAGACCCAGATGAAGTTCCTGGCTTCCACATGGCCCAGCCGTACTTCTTCAGCTATTTGGGGAGTGAATCAGCAGTGAATCAGCTCTCCGCTCTCTCTGTAACTTGGCCCCTCAAATAAGGGAAACAATTACAAGAAAAAAAAAAAAGGTAAAAAATTAGGAACTTTTGTTCATCAAGACACAAGACACTGCTAATAAAAATTTCAGCTACTGGACCTGGTGTACTAGTCTAGTGGCTAAAGTTCTCACCTTGCATGTGCCAGGATCCCATATGGGCGCCAGTTCTAATCCTGGCAGCTCCACTTCCCATCCAGCTCCCTGCCTGTGGCCTGGGAAAGCAGTCGAGGACAGCCCAAAGCCTTGGGATCCTGCACCCGTGTGGGAGACCTGGAAGAAGCTCCCGGCATCGAATTAGTTCAGCTCCAGCCATGGCAGTCACTTGTGGAGTTAATCAGTGGAGAAAGGTCATTTTTCTGTCTGTCCTCTTCTCTGTATATCTGACTTTCCAATAAAAATAAATAAATCCTAACAAAAAATTTAAGCTACTGAGTCAAACACATGAGCAGTATCTGTCTACAAGACTTTAACAAAATTATATAAAGAACACGTAACAAATCATTAAAAGTAAAATAAGACAGACAATCACACAGAAAAATCAATACAAGAATTCAGTGGGCAAACCCTTCACCTACACATACACGCACACAATACCAATGGCCAATAAATGTGGAAAATACAAAATAACTCCAGTGGTCATTAGAGAAGTTTGAACTAAGCCATAACAAAATACCCTTCATTACGCATTCCCCAAATGATGACAATTAAAGTAACAAATATAGGACCAGCATGGTAGCCTAGCAGCTTAAGTCCTTGCCTTGCACACGCTGGATCCCATGCAGATGCTGGTTTTAATCCCGGCAGCCCCATTTCCCATCCAGCTCCCTGCTGGTGACCTGGGAAAGCAGTGGAGGAAGGCTCAAAGCCTTGGGACCCTGCACCCCTGTGGGAGACCCAAAAGAAGCTCCTGGCTCTTGGCTTCATATCGACTCAGCTTCAGCTGTTGCGCCTGCTAGAGGAGTGAATCATAGGATGGAAGATCTTCTCTGTATATCTGACTTTGCAATAAAAATAAATAAATCTTTTTTTTTAAAGTAACAAATACAAAGACAAAATGAAGTTTTTCGGGGCCAGGGAACCACAGGGACAAGCATATGTTGCTGGTGGGAGCATAAATAGGTGCAACCACTTTGGAAAACTGCCCAGCACTGTGGTGGTGCTCTGAAGTTGAACAGATACACTGAACATTCTGACTGAAGCAGTCCACTCCTAAATACACACGTGTACTTGAATAAACTCACGGAAAACAGAAAGAAAACCTAAGTTCAACATGGAAAATATTAGATATTATGGAAGATCTATGTATGGATTTTGAAATTGTTTAATACCAAAATAAACTGTTATTTTAACTTTTTATGTCATTTATGAAATTTATTGATTTGCATCTCTGATATAAATCCCACTTATTACAATGGATGATCTTACTGATGTGATATGTATTTAGTTTGCTAGTATTTTGTTTTGATTTTGTATTTATGTTCATCGGGGATATAGTTCTGCAGTTTTCATGTTGTGTCTTTGCTTAGTTCTTATCACAGTGACGCTGGCCTCATAAAAGATAGGACTCTGTCAAACTGCTTGTTCTGTATTTTGGGATGGTTTTTTTTTTTTTAATGATTTTTTACATAGTTGATTACGGTGTGAAGAGTCAAGGGCCTTCCTGTACCAGCCTCCCAACCAACCCAGGGTCCCCAATGTGGGGTAACCTCTGAGGGTCCTGCTCAAGTGGTTTTGATAGTTCATCAGTTCTCAACTGCTATTGGTCCCGTTACTCCAATCACAACCCACTGACACACAGTCCACCCTAGAGTCTCCGTTTGCCCAGTTATTCCCTGGCAACAGTTGGCTGGGGTAGTTGACAAATTTTTTCTGTCCTCCATCCCCTGTTATGGTACCAGGTGTCCTCCGCAGGCTTCAATGTACTGCCACATCCTCCATGTGCATCTGGATATGCTGTCCACTGCTGCATCAAAGCCACTGAAGAGGCTCAGCTCTGACACATTCATTCCACGGTCAGACCATGGAACCTGCTCTCCATGGTTGAAGTTCTGAGTCCAGCAGTTCAGTTGGGGGGTAATCCCTACAGAATCCTCATCTGAGGTGATCCCAGGCCTGATACGCGTGTGTGCTTGCCAATACATGATCTGGAACAGTCCGTCACTTAAATCAGCCTGCACATACACTGGTAGTTGCAATTGCTGGGTCAGTTCTGTCTTCAGCCAGCCCTGTTTCCTATGCAAACCAATGGGCGTTGGAACCCAGCCCGATCCTGCCCACCACATTCAGCATTCACGCAAACCAGTGGGAGCTGCAGCCTAGTTGGAGCAACCCGCAATAACTCCCACCAGGCCTGCCCCTGCCCTGCTTCATGTACTTGCAAGTATGTATAGCAGACTGGTCCAGTCTGTTCCATATCCCATTCAGCTCTCATACATGTCAATGGGCCCCACTATCCAGTACACATTGGTGCCCATGGATGCCACCATCTGTCTAGCCATGCCTGCCCCTAGTCCTGGTTCTCATGCTCACCAGTGGCAGTGGCAACCCAAGAGGGAGGTGCCCACTGTTTCCCTACTGGGCCCACTGATCCAGCTCACATGCAGGCCAACAGTGTCATAGCTCAGCCTGGCCTGGTCTGCCCCCATCCCAGCTCTCACACTTACCAGTGGGAGTAGTGGCCCAGCAGGGGAGTCCCATGCAGCACCCCCTACTGGATCTGCCCCTTCTCCCTGGGTCTCACATGTGCTGGTTGGGCACTACGGCCTAGTCTGGCATGGCCCACCTCACCTCATCATTTGCCGGCTCAGATCTGGGGCAAGCCAGGCTGGGCCAGTTCACATCTCCCACTGGCATATCTGAGAACCAGTATGGTGTGAGGATCATGCTAGGTCGGACTGTCCAGTTCACATTAGGACCGGAATTGGGCGCTGGCTGGGCTGGGCTAGGCTGTAGCCCCGCCAGTGTGAGCTGGAACTGGGGGCAGGCTAGGCTCGACCAGGCTGTAGCACCCACCAGCAAATGGTCTAAATTCTGCCTGCACGGACGTAGTTCTCGGACGCCTGGCGTGTCTATTTCTGTTAGGAGTCTTGTCCTTTGTATGCTATACTTTTTTAAGAAGCTAAAAAGAAAAGAATGTGTATGTTTCTAGTGAGCAAGTTTCTTGTGCAAAAGAAAAGCCTAATAAAAATAAAAGGCAAGAGATCTCTGAACGGTTTCAACACTTCGCCGTTTGTTTTCTAATGCCAACAAGCCGGCGTGGGCGGCGGGCTGCGTGCCAGCCGTCTCTCACCTGCTGCGCTGACTCCTCGCTGCTCCGGCGTGCGAACTCCTCCAGCTCCTGTTTGTCCTTCATCGTCTTCTCCAGCTGGTCATTAGCCTGCCTCAGCATCACCTGCAGCTTTTTCACCTGCAGTATTTCAAATGTCAGTTTAGAACAAAGAACCAGAATTCTTTATACTATTTTTTAAAAGTTTAATTCCATAATTAATTTAAAAATATATACATATATAAAATGGCCTTTGTTTTTCTGAGAAATATCACAAAATAACCTCAAGACAGGTCATAATTTATAGCTAATAAGTCATTTCTCACATTCCACAATCTCAATTCCAAAATGCCTGCTTGTTGTCTGCACTGCAGGCCTGGCCTGCCTCGCCTCAACTCCATCCTCTGCCTCAGGACCGCAGTTCAATCCGACAGTTGAACCCCACAGAGGGAAATCACACATTTCCCCTACTTAAGGTCCCGGGTTGCCTCCCCAAGTCATCAGGGTCAAACCCAACTGCCTCCACTCGCCCTCTGGGAGCTCGCCACAGTCCTCCCCAGCAGCCCTCCTTCCTGTGGATAGCGCGCATGCCCAGGCCACGTCACCTCCTCAGACTTCTAGAACACACCATCTGCGTTGCTCAGCTTTGCTCTTTCACATATCCTTCCCCTAGCCCACTTCTTTTCCTAATGATGAAATGCCCAGGTTCAAAGCAGCCTTTGCCAGAGTGTCGCCCCCTGGCAGCCCGGCATGGCATGTACAAGCACAGGGATGATCTCCGGTGAGCTGACGGCACGCTCGTCGGGGGTTCACTCGAGTTGTGTCTCCATCTCCTGACCCACAACACGCCAGGCACACAGCACCAGTAAATGTCCGCTGCAGAGGCCAAGGGACCCAAGACGGTCCTGCCCACACCACACCACCAGATGCTACCCATACAGCTGTGCAAACAGTTTCAGAAATTTACTTTTGGCTACCTATGAAAGAAACATAGATGGAGGAACCAGATACCGAGGACCCCTGAAAATGTAAACCATCAATAAAATCTGCTAGAGTTCCTTGCTGGGTGAAGGGAATAGACAATGATTTGGACACAAAGAAATTATTTTTTCCTTTTGTGTTTTCACGAGCCTATACTCGGACATTCCCCATCATAATGCAAGCAGCATTTTGGATTGCAGAAAACTCCACCAATAAAAGCCTTCCAAAATATTCCAAAGATTTAAAAAATTATGGAAAAACATTTCCGGTCCTAAGCATTTCAGATAACAATTCTGAAAAACTTTCTGTTCTTAAACCTTTCAAATATACACTCAAAATACATTTCTCCTTAAATGTTATGAAGGAACCCATTATAAAATGTGGTATTTGGGAAAGGTTATGTAAGATACCAAACCTGTAAATTAACCAAGATCAGTTCAATAAATGATGACAACAGGCAATAAAGAAAAAAATAGACAATCAGCAGAGATCTCAAATACTGATTCAATTTTCCACATAGGTCTTTACTAAGAGGCCAAAGCCAACCTATGACCTTCCTGAATCTCCACATCATAGGACTTGCTGTGAGTCTACGGTCATGACACAATCTCTTCTAAGCATTGGGAGTGAGCAGCCAGGTGGGACAGGAGTAGAGGCAGTGTTCCTGTAGGCTCTGTTACCCTGCATTTTAACTCTGGTTTTTCTACTGGGTCAAGGGAAACAACTGGGGCAATCACTTGACCTTGACCTTTCAGAGCCAACTGGGGACACTCAGGTCCTGACAAGTTAACACCACATGGTCCTGACAGGCTCCCACTGGCAACCCAACCACCACTCAGGTATCAGAGCACTTCATGTCTACAAGTCGGAGACGCCTCATAAGCTACCGGGCAGGGTGGGCTGGATGGGGACAATCAATGCTGCGCCTCCAATGAAAACCAACAGCTCAGCACCTGGCACATCCAAGTGAAACTCACCTGGTCTCGCGTTTCAGCCTCCTGAATTTGAATTCCTTGTAGCTGTTTTTCATAATTGGAGCACATATCGCAGCGTCTACCAAGTTTATTTCCAGCATTGTGTACCTGAGGGGCACCAAAATGACCTCTGATCAAACACAACAGAATAATTCTACATCACACACTAGAGGATCATATACCAGAGGAAGGCACGCACGCACGCACGCACTGATGTCACTTAAAATAGAACATGGCGTAAAGTCTCTGCGGGGATTTATGGCAAGAAGGCATACTGTAACGTTAGACAGAGAAAAGCCATGTATGGCAGAGGAACAAGAGACACGAACTCATCACCAAAGAAAGGGCCAGAAGACACATCTGAGGAAAACACAAAGCTAAGGCACCACTCTGCAGCCCCCACGGCCACATCAGTACTACTCAGCCAACAGGGAGGGGGGACAGTACCCATCTCCTATTGCACCAGCTCCAATCACAAAATGGGTATGAAAGTATGCAGTAACACTTCCTTTTAGAAACAAATACACACCGTCCACATGAGAGCAGTTTCTTTCAGGGTAAACAACTGTTTAGTAAGTTCATGATCAACGTAACACTAGAAGCAAAAAACAAACACCCTGCATTTTAACTGGTTTTTCTACTGGGTCAAGGGGAACAACTGCGGCAATCACTTGACCTTGACTTTGACTTTTCAGGGCCAACTGGGGACACTCAGGTCCCAAATGCCTCATGACGGTCAGAAAGCTCAAAGAGATGAGCAATGTGAAGGGGCCTTGCGAGTGACAGCTTCACGCACACATGCCCCCTCTCAGCTCCCCGGCTCAGGCTCTGGGTTTGTAAATACTCCTGGGAGGAATATACTCCGTGTCCTCCATCCCCTCTCCACCTCACCTGTTGACAAGTATTTACACTTTAGAATTCAAGGAAAAATGAAAGGATGTGAAACCTATGATGACACAATGAGATTTCAGAAAACTGCAGACCAAACTCAGGTTACCGAAACTTCATGAGACTCGCTACTGAGGCAAGTTGCCCTGAGTTGAGTGCCTCGACTTTAGGTGGAAAAGTGCTCACTCAAGGCTGTTAGCTGCCTGGCACCCTGCTCCGTCAGCGTGACCTGCGAGAGCCAAAGCAGGTGTGCCAAGGATCAGATGACAGGAACCAACACCCACTGGCTGGCGATGTGCGCCTGCACCCAGGCTGTCTGCTGACCGAATCAGTGCCCCGTAGAGGGACGGAAAGGAAGGTCAGCGGGTTCACACACCTCTTTCTGTAGGAGATTCCATTCCGTCTCGCTGACCAGGCGGTAACCGCTGGGGGACATGTACGCGCTCTCCATGCCCTGGGTAATGCTGGAGAGGAGGGACGCCGTCTCCTCCTGCTCTGGCGTCATCGCCTTGATCGCTCTCTCCTGATCTTTGGTTAACATGAATCCACTAGGCATCTGCAGTGACCCGAGCGACACAGTGTCGAAATTCTCTGAAACTGAATCTGCTCCCACCAATGGTCCAAAATCCGACTCGTCCAGGTTGCCAGCAGACTTGGCCTTGCAGTTATAGCCTAAAGCTTTGGACTGTAAAGAGCCCGAGGTTCCCAAGCTGTCTGTAGACTGTGCTCTCCTGAGTCCATCCTTAAATACGTCACTGTCCGATTTACTGAACGGATCTCCAGAGGGCAAGAGCAGATCTGCATCTAGTGAGTGCACTGACCCATGGGTGCTGTCCAAATGCTCCTGAAATGTGAAAACACAAACTGTCAAGTTAGACGATTCTCTACCTTCAATCATGAAAATCACTATAATTTATCAGGCACATGTTACAAAAAATTGGTAACGTGTTCCTTCACTTAATCTCTGGATACTTTTTTTTTGCATACTGTATTTCTTAAATTGTTTTATGATACAGTTCCATAAGCTCTGGGATTTCCCATCCCCCTCCCCAGGTTCCCTTCCTCCCCACCCCGTTGATTTCCCTTCTAGTATTACAATCGGTGGTCGTTTGTGAACAGTCACAATTCCATCTTGTTTGGTTTTTTTAAAGATTTATTTTATTTTCATTACAAAGTCAGATATACAGACAGGAGGAGAGAGAGAGAGGAAGATCTTCCGTCCAATGATTCACTCCCCAAGTGACCACAATGGCCAGTGCTGCACCCATCTGAAGCCAGGAGCCAGGAACTTCTTCTAGGTCTCCCACGTGGGTGCAGGGTCCCAAGGCTTTGGGCCGTCCTCGACTGCTTTCCCAGGCCACAGGCAGGGAGCTGGATGGGAAGTGGAGCTGCTGGGATTAGAACCAGCACCTATATGAGATCCCGGGGCGTTCAGGCGAGGACTTTAGCTGCTAGTCCACGGCGCCGGGCTCCCATCTTGCTGTTATTGGGGTGTTTCCCGATCTCTGGTCTCTTACTACGCGTCTTCTATATGCTGGGCAGCAACCTAAGCCCTCAGGGCCCAACTGTGACCAAGACACAATTGCTGACCTCAAGATGCACACAGCTCCACGATAAAGACAAAGAAGGAAGTAGGTGCTTACAAAGCTGTCTGAGTCCAGTGATGGACCAAATTAGCATGGGAGCTGAAAAAGAGGAATTTAGCAGAGACCCAAGTTGGGGAAGGTTACCTCCAATCATACAGTGTGGCTTATGCTGAGTGTCTATGAAAATGCCGACCCTACAGATGGACATAAAATGCCAAGTCATTGCAGATGTGGGAGAAGATGACAATGGTCAAGGGCAGAGCTCTGAAACACACCGACATGTGAGGGACGGGCAGAGGGAGGAGTGTCATGGGAGCAGAAGGAAAACAAGAAGAAGGCAGTATTTTCAAAACCAAGTTTTAAGCAAGGTACACTTAATACATTAAAAGTGGTCCATGAAAACAAAAGAGGCAAAAAGTCAGATACAGATTGAATAGTCCTCAAAGGCAGACCCACACGGACAGAAAGACGACTGACTGCCAGAGGCTGCCGGAGGGCGAGAAGGACGGGTGTTAAATCTTTAGTGGATTTGGGAGTGTACTTCAGGGTGATACCCATGTCTTCACATCAGACAGAGGTGAGAAGCTGGCGTGTGGCACAGCGGGATAAGCCAGCACTTGTGACACCAGCCTCCCGCATCAGCGCGCCGGTTTGAGTTCCACCTACTGCAGCTGCAATTTTCAGCTCCCCACTAACAAGCCAGGCAAGGCGGCAGTTGATGGCCAAAGTATTTGGAGGTCCTGTGGCCCACATGGGAGACCTGCTTGCGGTTCTGGGTCCCTGGTTTCAGGCCAAGTTTTGTGGTTGTTTGGGGCGTGAGCCAGTGACTGCAGGACTGGTCCTGTCTCACCCTCGCAACGACAGATCAGCCAGATAGATCTCAGTATCAGCGTCCAGCGTCCCGGGGAGCAGCTTCACCCACTGCACCGTGCAGCAGCCTCAAACCAGCACCTTAACGCCAAGGCCCAAGTTCTGACCCTCATCTCAATGTTTAAACCAAATGCAGTATGACACATTTCCAAAGACAAACAACAACAAAAAGAGACTGGCACCATTACATGGTACAACTGCACAGTAAATACAAGGTGGGAGGGACAGGAAATTTTGTTTTTCTTAAAACTAAGATTGCTCAATTTAAATGATGAGCCTTTATTTTAAGATAATATCCTTTCTGTTGGTGTTAAATCAACTTTTACAAAAGAAAGGAGAATATGGAATTCTTCCATGTTTAAAAAATAATTACTAACATGATATTTTTCTTTATTTGAAAGGGAGAATTACAGGATAGAAGGAAAGACAAAAAGAGAGACAGATCTTCCATCTACTGGCTCACTCCCCAAATGGCTACATTAGCCAGTGGTTGGTCTGTCTAAAGCCAGGAGCTTCTGGGCACCCCACATGGGTACGGGGGATACACTTGTGCCCACCTTCTGATGCTCGCCCAGGTCATAAGCAGTGAGATGGACTGAAAGGGGAACAATTGAGGGCCCAGCCCAGTAGCCTAGTGGCTAAAGTCCTCCCCTGCACACCCAGGATCCCATATGGGCACTGGTTTGTGTCCCGGCTACCCTACTTCCTATTTGGCTCCCTGCTTGTGGCCTGGGAAGGCAGTTGAGGACGACCCAAAGCCTTGGGACCCAGCACCAACGTGGGAGACCTGGAGGAGGCTCCTGGCTCCTAGCTTCTGATCGGCTCAGCTTTGCCCTTTGTGGTCACTTGGAGAGTGAATCATCGGATGGAGGATTTTCCTCTCCATCTCTCCTCCTCTATATCTGACTTTTCAATAAAAATAAATAAATCTTCAAAAAAAAATTTTTTTTAAAGTAGAACTGCTAGGACTCAAACCGGTGCCCAAAGGGGGTGCTGGCGCCACAGGCAGAGGCTTAGCTGATCATGCCATGGTACTGGTCCCCTAAGATGTGGTTTTTACCTCTGGCATCTTTCACTCAGTATATCACAGCTAATGGATATGCTATACAGTGTAATCCAAAACTGACATGAGGCAGGCATTTGACCCAGCAGTTAAGACAGCCATGACCCATATCAGAGAACTAGGGCTTGATACCGGGCTCTGGCTGGATGCCAGTTTCCTGTTAAATGCAGACCATGACAGGCAACAGGTGACAGCTCAAGTAATTAGATCCTTTAAGATATATACATAATTTATTTTAAAAGTTACAAACTGAAACGGAGGGAGGGAAGGGAGAGAGATTTAGAGAAGTCCTCCATCTGTTGGTACACTCTCCAAAGGCTACAACAGCTGGTGCTGAGCCAGGTACCAGGACATTCTTCCAGGTCTCCCACATGGGTGCAAAAGTACAAACACTTGGGTTGTCCTATGCCACCTTCCCAAGGGCTTTAGCAGGAAGCTGAACTGGAAGTGGGGCAGCAGGGAGTTACACGGACGCCCCTATGAGAAGCCTAGCACTGCAGGTAATGTTCTAACTCCATCCCACACAAGCAGCTTAACCTGCGAGGCCCACAGTGCTGGCTCCAAGCCGTTAGATTATTCACCACCACGGGCGGGGGCGGGGGCACCTGACCCAGCCATCTGGGGTGTAAATCAATAGATGGAAACTCCATCCATCTCTTTCTTAAAAATGTTTTTTGAAGTTGACAAGTTTAATGTTGATTTCCATTTTTACTCATATGGCCAAAGTCCCTAGAGAAGTTCCCAGTCAAGCCTGGAGGAAGGAACCACTCCACCAGCCTACAGAGGAATCTCAAGCCTACAGTCTCACCTAAGGTTCTGCAAGGACACACACGAGGGAAGTTATCAGGGGCAGAAGAACTGTGAGGAATATTTCCAAAAACAGAGTAGTCTATTGGCAATAACGTAAGACACATACTTCTAGGGGAAGTGCAAGTGAATACCATGTGTCTGAAATAGGACTCAAGACTACTTCCTTAAAATCCAGCCATTCCTTACAACTAAGAACGTACTCAGACGCAGCTATGAGGATGTTTCAACGAGGGAAAGTTACATACAGTAGCATTATGGTACTAGGTAAGGAGACATTTCATCCTATCAGCCTCAGTGTTAACCCTGTCTCTCATCCCCTATGTCGCGTGCTGCTGACCTGTCCTGGGCCTTGCTGGCTGGGGAGTGTGACTGGGCCTCCCAGTGCTCGCGAAGGCTGGAAATGACCGGCACCCGTGGTAAGCATCACTCGGACATGGACCTTGTCTGCCTCACACACACGCACTGAGGCCAAGCAGGGGCTTTGCAACTCCAACCGGCTGGAATGACTCCAACTAACCTGTTCGGAATGGTGTCCCTGACCTCCTACTGTTCTCACAGAAACTGCACTGAAGCTGCAGCCTGTCAGGGCTTCCTCCGGCTCCTGCTTCTGCCTCCTGAGCAGCCCGGGCCTAGTCAGACCAGGTCCTGCGTGGTGTAGCACTGTGGAGACAGCTCCCAGAGGAACCGCAACGTCAACTTTGTTCCCCAAAGCACCCTCTTATCCAAGTCGTCATCACTGTTTCCTTTAGAAATCAAATCCCAGGAACCAATCAGTTAGTAAAAAATTGGCTAAAGCAACTATGGCATATTCACACACTAAAACCTTGACAGTAAATATTAAATTTGGGGAGAAACATTTAATGATGTGCCAAGATTTTAAAATCTACTAAAGGGTAAGGGAGATGATACACACACACACACACACACAAATCATACAGTTATAACATGACTATGTTTTAAAAGTATAAACAGAAAAGACATGCTATCTTTGGAACGGATAATGGAAACACGAAGGAGACGCTGCCCAGAACGTTAGTTGTCGTTTCCTCCAGACGGCAGGATAATCTACCCATCTTGTTCAATTTTTCCTTTTCAAATCTAAGCTGCAAAATAACAAAGCTGAGAGTCTAGAAGATATTTAAAATGTTAAAACTAATGACATACAAATATGTTATCTGGATCTGCTAAAAAAAAAATAAGAAAAAATACTTCATTGTAAATTATGTCCCTTCCCTGTTTTCCTGCTTTTGAAACATTCCTGTGTAGATGACTGAGTGATGCAAAAAATATGCAACACTTGGCAGTACCCAAAGATTGAGACATTTTCCTGGGAGGCCGTTAGAGAAAAATGTACAGAAGTGAGCCAAGTGCTGCTCAGTGAGTCAAAAACAAAGAATGTACAAAATAACCACGTCATAGTTTGCAGCATCTACTGGGATTTTTAATAGTTCAAAATTTTAGTGGCTAAAGTCCTTGTCTTGCATGCACTGGGATCCCATATGGGTGCTAGTTAATGTCCTGGTGGCTCCACTTCCCATTCAGTTCCCTGCTTGTGGCCTGGGAAAGCAGTCAAGGACAGCACATGGCCTCGGGACCTGTACCCATACAGGAGACCCAAAAGAGGCTCCTGGTTTCAGATCGGCTCAGCTCCAGCCATTGCGGCCGCTTGGGCAATGAATTGGTGGATGGAAGATCTTCCTCTCTGTATATCTGACTTTCCAATAAAAATAAAATAAATCTTTAAAAAAATAAACATAAAAACCCCAAAATTTTATAATTTGCTTCTGATTTGGAAGCCAAAGAGACAGGAGTATCTTCCATCTACTTAATTCACTCCCCAGATGGCCTCACCAACCAGAGTTGAACTAGACTCGGGCCAGAAGCCAGGAATCCAATCCAATGCAAACCTCCCCTTATGGGTTATCAGGGAACCCAAAGACTTGAGCCGTGGTCTGACACCCCAAGTATATGTTAGCAGGAAGCTGGATCAGAAGTTCTGCCAGGACCAGAACCCAAGCACTCCAAAATGGAATGCAGTTGTCTCCACTGGCAACTGAGTCATTGTACCAAACACCTCCCTAAAAAGGGATTTTAAATGCCAAACCAACAACAGAGTCACCAGGAAGCAGATTATACATGGCTCAGGGTAAATCTGCAAACTAAACAGAAACATGATATGTTTGGAAAGGCAAGACCTTTATTCAGTTGAAGTGACACTCACCAGGCTGGGAGAGCAGGTGGTGGGAGGGGAGTTCAAAGTTCTCAACAGCAGAGACGGCACAGACAAGGCAAGTGCGCCGGACGGTCAGCAGAAAGGTTCAGCCATGGGGAGGGAACAAGGCCAGCGAGGCCAGAAGAGCCACTTGTGGCAAGGCTCTTGTGTGCCAAGCCAGGCATCTCAGGTTTTTTCTAGGGGCAGTTACGAGTTTTTGAAGGATGAGCAGAAGGGGTCTAACACTCAGAAGGGCAGAGCAAGATAAGCATCTCAGACGATGGGAACAACAAACAAGATGCAAAGAGTAGCACAAGACAATGATACATGTGGCTACAAGAGAATCCAGATCATGCAGGGCCTCAACTGTCTGAGGAATTTGGACTTTAAGAGCTAACAGGAGTCAACTTCAGTGTGTGTGTGTGCCCCAGCACAATGGCTCAACAGATTAATCCTCCACCTTGTGGTGCCAGCACCCTATATAGGTGCAGGTTGGCGTCTCAGCTGCTCCACTTCCCATTCAGCTCCGTTTGTGGCTTGGAAAAGTATCAGAGGATGGCCCACATCCTTGCGACTCTATACCCACGCGGGAAACCGAGAAGAGGCTCAAAGCTCCTGGCTCCTTACTTCATACCAGCTCAGCTCTGACTGTTGCAGCAATCTGCGGAGTGAGCCAGCAAGGGAAGACCTTCTCTATTTCTCAACTGTGCAAAATCTGCCTTTCGAATAAACAATAAACCTAAAGAAAATTAACTGGGGAGGAGGGAGGTTGGTGACAGGACTATGGCATAGCAAATTAAGCCACCACTTGTGGCACCAGCATCCAGATTCCAGTTCAATACTCAGCTGTTCCACTTCCAATCCAGCTCCCTGCTAAGGCATCTGGGAAAGCAGCAGAGGATGGCCTAAGGGCTTGGGCCCCTGCACCCATGTGAGAGATCTAGAAGGAACTTCTGACTCTTGGCTTCAGCCTAGAAGCTGTGATCTTTTGGGGAGTGAACCAATGGATAGAAGGTTTCTCTGTGTCTCTCCCTCTCTCTGTGTTAACTCTGACTTTCAAATAAGCCTTCAGGAAAAAGAAAAAAAAAAAAAATGAAATAAATGTGGGGCCAGTGCTGTAGCTGAGTAAGTTAATATCCCAAACCAGAGTGCCAATTTGAGTCCAGGACATACTGCTTCCAATCCAGCTCCCTGTTGATGCATCTGGGAAGCAGTGGCTAACGGAGCATCCTGGCTGTCGGTCTCTGCCTGACCCAACCCTGCCCATTGCAGCTATGTGGAGAATGAACCAGCAGATGGAAGATCATGTCTCTTACTCTCTATTATTACTACTCTGCCTTTCAAATAAATATTTTTTAAAAAACACGAGAGAGGAAGAAGGAAAGGGGGAAGGAGGGCAGGAAAAGGAGGTGAGAAAAGAAAGACAACGTTGCTATGGAAAAATGGAGTGCAGCAGGCTGAAGACACTCACCCAGGCAGCAGGCTCTTATCACACGGCAGTGAGAGGTGAGGCCACAATGGAGCCCCTGACTCTGCACCTCCAGACCTCTCTACTCCGTCCCCGATTCCTGACATGTTCTACCATGCCTGCTGGCAACCTGCTGAACCTTCCCCACTGTTCTCAGGGCTTACAACCTAATATTGGCTAAAATGCATATATATAAAGTGGAGAGCCAAGTATCAAACCACTTCGATCATTTCTTTTATAAACAAAAAGCTGAAAGTGATACCAACATTTATTCACATCTACAAAATTTTACAGACAATATTTAGAGTTTTACTGTAACAAACTCTGGAACTCTGGAAAAGGGATATATTGGCAAATGAAACAGGTTTCAAATATTGCTACTTACAATGCCTCCTCCCCCCAAAAAACTCTGCAAATCAACACTGTCATTTTCTCTGATCTTCACCAGCAGCCAAGCACTGCCCATGGGAACACGGTAACTGAGCAGCACATGAAAGTCAATGACAGAGACACAGTTCAGTCCTGGCCACCACAGCCACCATACCTCTTCATTGGGGAACTGCGCGGAAGGGTCTTCCTGAGCTAAAGCACACACTACTGGTACTTTCACTTCTTCTTCAGCGTCTGGTTTGTTGTGATCCTTTCCCTTATTAAGTCTTTGCTGTTCATCATCTTCCTAGAAGTTAGAAAGAAAAAACCAGAAATGTTACCCAGGTCATCTATACTGAATGGCCCACGTGTTCTCTAACCACAGAAGACAGTAACTGGGGCTGCGAAACTGACACCTCGGCCTACCTGTTTTGCAATCACAGCCAAGGGTTTCTGAACAAAAATATTTTAATAATAAAAACACAAACAGAAATCCTGGTCTGTTAAAGAAGTGGTTTCTAAGAAAAGCAGACAATGTCAAAACAGATTCAACAAAATAAAGCAATCCATGCTCTTCTCCTCCATCAAATGATACAAGAAAGGAAAACTTACATAGGACACTCCGTTGCAGGAAAAAAACAGGAGTAATTCACTATGACATTACACATCCACTAGAAACATGTATACATTTATATGAAAGACAAAAGGTATTGTTAAAGTTGATGTAATAATCCACTTAAAGAGTAGTCCAATATTTTCAATGTGCTACAGAACAGTAAAGAGGAGAAACACACAATTACAACGCAGGTTGAAGGTACTTCAAAAGGTTGTGAAAGAACCAGTTAAAACGCATCACATGTGGGGAAGTGGGTGTTCATCCTATCCTGGAGTCTGCTGGGTCTGTCTCTAGCTCTAGGCCAGCTTCCTGCTAATGCTGATCCTGAGAAAGGCCCAGTGATCAGGCTCCTGGCACCCACGTGGGCTGCAAGGCTGGCACTTCTGGCTCCCAGCTCAGGTCCAGCCCAGTCCATTTCAGGCAATCAGGAAATAAAATACCAGATGGGAGCTCTATGTCCTCATAGCTAAATTATTTTCTTGAAGTTTATTTTTGTACAAAAGTTTTTCTGCATTCACAATTTTCTAAAGGCATAAAGACAGGTATCATCCACCTGTTAGCTCACTCCCCAAATGCCCCATGACATCTGGCTGGGCACCTCAACCACTACAGCAAATACCAGCTCCAGCAAAAACGATTCGAAATTCATGTATAGTATTTTTCACAATATCCATTTCCTCTGCATTTTTAAATCCTATTAGGCCCAGATTTACCAAACAAACAAAACACGCATAAAATAAACTTATTTTTTAATTCAACCTTCCATAAGCCTTTTAAATTACTCAACAGATACAAAAGGCTCTATATAGGAGAGAAACAATCATTGATTGCATTTGAGAATCCCAAGCGGGGGGGGGGGGCGGGGGTGTCTAAAAAACGTAACACTTAGTCAGATGATGAGAAATCAGTTCGATGAGCTGAGTGACAGCAGACAAACAGAAGGAAGCCACGCATCAATGACAGAGGCCTGGAAGGGCAGGCCCATGAAGGAAGGCCAAGTGACTCAAGGTAACAAAGTGGGTGAGTGCATGAGAAGTCAGAGACCTGGGGCCAAGGATGGTGATGAAGGGTTACACTCTGAAATTGGGGGTTACCCCAATCTGCAGATCTATTCCCTCTCTCATGCAGGCGGTACCATAGTCTTCACCTCACACACTGAGTTCTGTCTTTGAGAAGCACTTGCGATAAAGCTTTAGATGTATAGTTTTAGTGCAACATTTGCACAGAGTAAGACCTTGGTAAGCATTAATAAACGCCCTAAATGACCATCTCAGTTCAGTTTAGACTGTCTTCAGGGGAAGCAAGAAAGGCAGGTTAAGAGCTGTACATTGCTATCTAAATCCTTAACGGTTTCTACTACAAGGTGAATGAGTTACCAGACCAAAAAAAAAAAAAAACCCAAAAAACACCCTTAGGAAACATCAGATCTAACCTATGTCCCATAGTAAACATATATCCTAAAATACCTAGAAAAGCAGTGAACCCATTTAGGCAGCTCTCATAAGGGATTACATGCACTCATACACAACGTGGCACAAGACAGCGAGCCGCAACACTGCTTGAGCTGACTCAGCCTCGGGGGACGTGCAGACTGTCAACAGGAGAAAGGTTAGATCACTCCCGGTACACCCACGCCAGTTAACGAGACAGGACTCTGATGGAAATACACCCAGGACGACACTTACGGGGGAATATATGATAGCATCAATGCCCACACTTTGATACTGGTATCATGGGGAAACAGAACCCCTAAACTCACACATGAACACACAGAGCTGGTCCTAAAAACTCCCTACAGAACTTGCTTCTGGGATGGGGGAATGTGAGAAATGCCAAAGATTTTCTCTTGACCACTTCACATTCACAAGATCGTTTCACTTTGCATTTAAAACAACAACAACAAAAAAATTTGTAATGAGAATGCATGTGTAGATTACTTGGGTAACTTTAATGATTTTTTTCAAAGATAAAAAGGATCTTGGGTATTCAACACTCTGGACACCTGTCTTTTCACACTGTACGGCCTCTCCACCACTATCCTGTCACCTTCCAACGAGGATTTTAAAACAAGGTCACCACAGACTTGGCCTGGACTGACACAGCTTGGGAACCCTGGCACGACTGGCCAGCACGGGGGAAGTTCTTGCCAGGACCGTGCACTGCCGCACCCTGTTCTCGCTGAAGATCGGTGCCCTTGCCCCACAAGGCCATTTCTAACGCTGCAACACAAAATCCATCAAATGCAGCTGTTACTTTTTCTTTCTTTTAATTTTTTTTTTAATTATAAGGCTGTGCTGCTCTCTGCTGCCTTTGTTACTATGGGCACCATATTTTTAAAAGATTTATTTTTTAAAATTTTGTCTGAAAGGCAAAATTACAGAGAAAGGAGAGAGATGGCAAATGGCCACAACAGTTGGAGCTGGACCAGTCTGAAGCCAGGAGCTCCCTCGGTCTCTCCCACTTGGGCCATTCTCTGCTGCTTTCCCAGGCACACCAGGACTCAAACTGGTGCCCATATGGGATGCCAGCACCACTGGTGGAGGGCCAGCCCACTACAGAATGGCACTGGCCCAGATGTTACTTTTTCTAGGATGGCACCCATTGTCCGGTCTTGGCTTCAATCTCTAACACAGGCAAGCTAATGCAATCATGTGTGTGAGGGATATCATTGACAAAGCAATTAAGCCCTGGATTTGCCATTCACCTGATCTTTCTTCTTCAGTTCTTCCACTTGGCGGAGCTGTTCCGAAGTCAGCACGATCTCCATCCGCTGCATGTCTCTCATCAGCAAACGCTGAGATTCCAGAAACTGGTCATTGGCCTTCTGCCACGTATGTTTTAACTGGTTATGTTGCTGTCGCTCTTGTTCCAACAGATGGCAAACTGTTTAGGAATCCCCCAATCAGAAACACTGAATTTTAATGGTAGGCAATTTCTTCAGAAAATGGCTACTAGATCAGGTCCAGCCAATGGTTATCGCGTCAGTCTGGAATTCTGCCCCTGCCCCACAGTTTGTGGTTGAATATGGATCCAACCCCACACCATCTCTCTAAACAAAGTCTCCCAAAGTGTGTTCCTAAGAACATAAGAGCATACTAGACAGAGACTTCTGTGGGCTCCAAGGTTTAGTTACCCTCAGTTAAACAGAATTTTTTAAGATTTTTTTTTAACCACATGATTTGCATCTCAGGGTCTTAATTATGTGAATGCAGGTGACACATAATAAAAGCATTTCCAAAATTTGTTTAACATAAAGAAAAAAACCTCAACTCGGGTAGTGAGTGCCTAGGGATGCACTTGGAGAAGCACTGCCCTCAGAGCCCAAGGCAAGCAACCATGCCTATTTCTTGTTCACATATCACGCTACACTTGTCTCCCCAGAATCCTCCTTGGGTCCAGCTGGTTTTCAGTCACTCAGACTAAACGAAATGTGTGCATTGTTGATACGCAGCGGCTCAGCCAACAGTTACTGGAAAGGGAGGCGGCACCATCTAGCCACTCGCCTACTCTAGGTAACGACTTGCACGTCTTACCCTTCCCCTGTCCAACACAGCTCCGACAGAGCCTGCAATCTGCCGACCGTGCGATGAGCCCTTCCCTGTGGCTCCAGCCTTGAGCAGCCCTGAGGACTCAGATGACTGCATCAGGAGCTCCTTGCTCCTGCCCTCAGCCGCGTCCTCCCTATTCTGTTGTGCACACACCATTAAACGGAACTTCCCAACACAAAAAACTGATATCTCTCATTGGTTTAAAATAGGCAGGCAAATCTTATAGCAAACTTTCTGATGGTCAGGTGCTCGGGGTAGGACAATTCCTACAAACAATACAAATGAGTCCAGGGCCTCTTTGTGAGGCAGCAAAAAATGTCTCGGAATTAGATGATGGTGACAGTGCATAATTTTGTGAATGCATTAAAACAAAACAAAACAAGTGATTTATGTAATTGAGAAGGGTGAACTTGGCACGGGGAGTATGCTTCATAAACCTGTTATTTAAGAGTAGAAAAACAATGTTTTTCAAAGACTCCTTACTGCTCATATGATAAGCCAGCATTCCGGCCGACGCCCAGGGCACCGGTCTCCCATCCTGCCTCCTTGCCTCCTGCACTGGAAATGTGCTGGCTTGCCGAACTTACACCTCCTCAGCCTAATGCATCACGTGCAAATGGCCTGACTACCTGAAAAGTACTTACCCACCTTTCAATGTTTCACTCAGGAGGAAGAAACCCATCTGTACTTAGAACAGAAATAACACACCACCCTTTCCTGCCAGTAATGTTGTATTCGAACACCTACAGAACTTAACTGTACCAATGTGGTCACCCAACTAATCCCCCCCCCCTCCCCCAGTTTAAACTTTTAAGCTCCTGTTCAATTTTTCTTTTACTTTAATTTAAAGACTTTTTTTTGTGTGTGTCCCAGTATGGGAATTAACTTCAGCAGGTTCCTTATTTTCATCAATCAGATACTTTTTCCAAGATTTAACAGTCATAATGATTTACATTATTTCTGTCAGACACAGACACACGATTTAAACATTTATTCTGTTTCCACTGACACCATGGGTATATTGTGATGGCAACAGCACATTTGAAAACCGACCTTGAGGGCCAAAGAGCCACTTGAAGTTTAGCTTACTACTTTTACAACATGCCATAAAATAATTCTACGGATTTATCACTCCAAATTTCCACTGAAACATAACTCAATGTACAGATCTGAATTATTTAGTTTATATTTTCTGCAGTATTCGGTACATAGTATTCATCGTAGGACTATCACCAAACCTGCCACAAGCAAGACATCAAGAGGTCTTCACATCTGAATGAGAAAAAAGTGTTTTTATTATCCTCCAACTACAGTTTATCATTTTCCTGCGATGAACTGCAGTAATAAAATAGTTCCTATGACTTTGTCACCAATAGATGTCACAGATTCTTTCAGATTTCATTACAGCTGACGCAGGAATCTTACTGCCTCATTTATGCCCAGCAGGTACTTTAAAATTAGAGCTATTACACCTGCTGCTGGATCCTGTTATGGAATATATTACAGAAATAGCCTGCTCATTACTCTATCTCAGGACTAAATATTTTCATGGCTTTGATAATATTAGTTTCTTTTGTAATTGTATGCATTCTGTGTATCAAATTCATTATTCTGAGAACGCTTCACAAAGTTACCAAAGGAATCCACGACTTAGAAGGGTTTAAAACCCCAAGTACCCAGAAATCACTGTAAGAACCGAAGGCAGACGTGGAGATCTCGACCTGCACCAGGTGAGCAAAGTCACAACCGCCCTTAAAAACAGGACATTCCTCAGGGCTGCAGCCTACACTGTCCTCTGGATCCTATTTGTATTTTTTTATTTGTAACGCCCACTGACACAACGGGGCTTGGGGATAAGAGCAGTCTAATTAGAAGTTCCCAATTTTATCTTTCTGGCTAGAACTCATGCCTTGTGAAGTGCTTACTCACACCGCAGTACAAAGAGAAGCCACTAGCTCTCCGAGTATCTCTGATAATGCTCACAGCCCCAGCTTTTCCCGGGAACATCCTAACCACCCACAAAGCTTTAACTACATCGGCAACATTGCGCCAGCATCCTAGGGCTTGCTTCTGCAGTGGTCAGTATCAGAGCCACTTCTGCTGCTCTCCTGAAGACCGAGTTAAGAGACACAGAGCAGGTGTTTACCTTCGTGCAATTCTTTGCGCAGTTTCTCAGCGTCCTCCTGCAGCACAGACTTCTGAGTATTCAAAACAGCTACATACATCTCTAGATCGGTCCTACACGACTTCTCAGCTTCGAGATAGTGATTCAGTTCTTTCACCTGAAAGAAGATACAAGCCTGTTAAATTGACATTTTCTGCACTAATTTAGGAATAACAGTACTTGGCGTACTCTGAAAACAAGCCCACTGATTTTCACTTAAATTGTTATTTACATAATTTTTTTAAATGACCTATTTATTTTGGAAGCTAGAAACACACAGAGAGGGAGGGAGAGGAGAGGGACCTTTCATATACTGGTTCCCTAAACCAAGAGCTTTTCCCAGGTCTCCCACACGGATGGCGGGGCCCAAGCACTTGGGCCGTCTTTGCCCACCTTTCCCAGGCCATTAGAAGGGAGATGGATTAACAGGACAGCCAGGACACGAACCAGGACCTGGTGCCCATAAGGAATGCAGGGTTCACACACAGTGCCCTTACTTGCTACAACACAATGCAGGCAGGCCCGAGAGCTACACGCCCCAGCCACGTGGGAGACCTGCAAAACGGTCCTGGCTCCTGGCTTTAGCCGGGCCTGGCCCTGGTGCTTGTAACCATCTTGGAAGGGAACCAGGCGATGGGAGATGTCTCCCCCTTTCTCTAGAACTGTGACATCAAATAAATAAATCTTTAAAAAATTCCACTTAATGCTTTTCAAAAAGGTAGTTCCAATTTACATTTCAAGAGCAACATTCCTATATGCTTGTTATACCGCACACTTAGTAACACCAAACAAATTTGGCTTTTTAAAAACAGCTGTAATTTCTAGCCCCAAACTGGTACCATACTCTTTATAAGTTTGCTTTTCCTTGACTTACAAATGCCTTTGTTATAAATAAAGGAGACATTTTCAATATATGTACCCATGGAAATTAAAAGAGGAAATCATGGTGGGAAAAATAGTATTTTGTCTTATTTTGCAACTACACAAACTTGAAAGTCCAGTGTAGAACATTAAACTGTTATATATTATTGATCAACTATAATACTCAGAATATTAACCAAGTCTAATATCTAAAAAAATCAAGTCCAATATTTGAAATATTTACAGTCATAATAAAAAATACAACCATTTCCCAGCAAATGACTATAGAATGACTTCTTTTATCCTGGCATATAAATTGTCCATTTTAAACTTTACCTAGAATTTTTCAAATAGTTGTCTAATTTTTTAAAATTTTTTAAAAAGATTTTATTTTTATTGGAAAGGCAGATATACAGAGAGGAGAGACAGAGAGGAAGATCTTCCGTCCAATGATTCACTCCCCAAGTGAGTGCGACGGGAAGCCAGGAGCCTCTTCCGGGTCTCCCACGCGGGTGCAGGGTCCCAAAGCTTCGGGCCGTTCTCGACTGCTTTCCCGGGCCACAGTCAGGGAGTTGGATGGGAAGCGGGGCTGCCGGGATTAGAACCAGCGCCCATATGGGATCCTGGGTGTGCAAGGCGAGGACCTTAACCACTACACCACCGTGCTGGGCCCATTAATGTCTAATTTTTAAATGTCCAATTTCCTTTTAATTGAAAAGTCAGGTATACAGAGAGGAAGAGAGAAAGACGGAAACATTTTCCGTCCACTGGTTCACTCCCCAAGTGACCACAATGGCCAGAGCTGAGCCAACTTGAAGCCAGGAGCCCAAAGCCTCTTCCAGGTCTCCCAAGGCTCTGGGCTGTCCTCCACTGCCTTCCCAGGCCACAAGCAGGGAGCTGGATGGGAAGTAAAGTTACCAAGATTAGAACCAGGGCCCATATGGGACCCTGGGCATATGCAAGGTGAGGACTTTAGCTGCTAGGCCAGAGCGCTTGGCCTAAATTTCATATTGAAAGCCATTCTGATGTCTTTTCATCTTCTATCAAGTTATCCTTACTGCTCGGTCCTTATACAACACTAGTCACAGACTCCAATGAGTCTGGCAGTTGCTATCGGCTGCTTAACTGCGGGCTGGCAGCCAATCAGAAGACACTGGGCGAGCGCGGCTGCGTGCTTACCATGGAGGCACCTTCCCCGGCTGACAAAGGGGGGACAGCTTCAGGAGGGCAGCCAGGAACTGGCAGCAAATAACCACTCACTCAACCAACTCTCACTTTCGAGAACCAAATTCCACTCTGCCATGAAGGTAACGTCCAGTACTGAGCAGAACTCGGGGAAGATGGTGGCGGCAGGGTGGCATAGTATTTCAGTTTCCTCGGATACGCACGCCCACAACAACCGAAGTCAAAAACACGTGTTAAAGAGAGGGGGGAGAAAACACCGAAAGCTACTTGTTCCAAAGAACCCAGATGGGATCACCACCTACCCCGGTGAGCACGGAGGGAGGCAGCACGGCCCGAGGTCACCGCAGCCGCTGAGACTGCCAAGCCCAGCTCACTCCCACGGTGGGCCAACGTGACACACTTGCAGAGGCTTACAACTAGGTTAAGGTAAACCAGAAGCCCGCTTTCATTTTCATTTCCCTGTCTCGACCACAGCTGCACAGCTGCTTTAGGAAACCGCTATTCATACCATTCACCTGGTTTTTTTTCCCTCTGTCGTTTATGAACTTGACCATTATATTTGTTTGGGATGTGAACTCTGTCACTGTGAGTCCCCAGGTATCTTCACACAGTATCTTAACACCTAGCAAGTTTTATTTTCTAATGTGTCCAAATTTGTCAATTTTCCTTTTATAGTCACTGTATCTGTCCTACTTAAGAAACTTTCTGTACACCAACAAGTACTCTCTTTTTTAGTATCTGAAAGTTTCAAAGGTTTACTTTTCAGCCTGGGGTTCTTAAGTCACTGAAATTAATTCTTGTGTATTAAATAGAAAGCCAATGCCACTTGCTCCCGTGGCTGTAACCCGTCAGTTTGAAAACGTGTGAAACAAGCCATTCCTCCCCCACCGCCCTGTAACACCTCCCGTGGGTCGAGTGCCCACGTCCTGAGGGCAGCTCTATCTCTGGGCTCACCACTCTGCCTCACCGGTCCATCGGTTTACTTCTACATCTGTTGACAAACCACCCTAATGATAGCAGTGTCACTTTCCAAGTCTTCTCATGGGGTAAATAGGGCACATCCCCCCACCCTGTCTTCTCCAAAGTTTGTGAGATAACAATCCTTACTCTTGGCCTGTCTGCATCGCTTACAGAATCTAATTATCAAGGTCTGTAGCTACCCTTGTTGCATTTTGAGTAGAATGTGCGTTTATAAATGAAATTGGGGGAGGCGCTGCTTCACCTACAATGTTCTGTCTTCATGCAGGAACACAGGTGTTCAATTCTTCACGAATGACGGCTTATAACATTCTGTCAAGATACGTCACATGTGGGCCCAGCGGCGTGGCCTAGCAGCTAAAGTTCTAGCCTTGAACGCGCCGGGATCCCACGTGGGTGCCGGTTCTAATCCTGGCAGCTCCACTTCCCATCCAGCTCCCTGCTTGTGGCCTGGGAAAGCAGTTGAGGACAGCCCAGAGCCTTGGGACTCTGCACCCACGTGAGAGACCTGGAAGAAGTTTCTGGCTCCTGGCTTCGGATCAGCACAGCATCAGCTATTGTGCTCACTTGGGGAGTGAATCATCGGACAGAAGATCTTCTTCTCTGTCTCTCCTCCTCTCTGTATATCCGCCTTTCCAATAAAAAAAAAAATCTTAAAAAAATATACATATATTAAAAAAAAGATCCGTCACATGTTTAGGTGGATGGCTAAGTAAGGCAGAGTTTGGGCAGTTCGTTTTTGTTTGGTTTTATTATTGAGACTCTTTCCCAACAGCGTTCTTAAATTGGATAGACTGGGTTACAGAAACACTGTTGTCTTGTTGGAGTAACTTCCAATTTGCTTAGCTCTTCTTAGGTCTAGTACCGGGATGTGCATCCTGGAACATTTTGGCATGGCCAATCTCAGCAGGTTCAGCTCTCTCACATTCTGACACTTCATTTCTTCATGAAATGCAGTGTGAGACCACAAATACAAGCTGCACACTTGCGAGCATGGGCCTCTGCACAATGCTGCCATTCCTGGGACGGCTGCTCAGCGCTCACTGACCACCTTCACTGAAGATCTAAGTCATTACATGTTAAAATTCACTCAAATGCCTTTCTGAACTTGAATATATTGCTTTTCTCCCTCAATCTTTCAGGAGACACATCACAAAAATTTTCTGGTAAAACACCACCCTTAAGTTTCTGAGAATATATCCTATGTGGTCATGACTACTATTTTTCTTTTCCTTTTTTCTTTAGTTACATTGTTGAACATTTTTGGTTCTTTATTCCCCAACCCGTAATTCCCTTACACTACCTTGTTATCTGCTTTTAAACAATGAAGATGCACAAATCTTAGGAGCTATAGTTTTTCTGTTTTCTGACAGTTTATAAAGTTCATAAATTACTAAAATCTAAGAATTCTTTCTAGAAGGTCTGACCTGAGACACCAGCGGAATCTGACGTCTTTGAGGAAGGGAAGGCAGAAAGACTCGGACTCTGCATTCGTGTTACATCACAATGAAGAGCTTAGGATCTGGCACTGCAGTGCAGCAGCTTGAGCTGTCACTTACTAGGCTGCTCTCCTGTACAGGGTGCTGGCACAAGTTCTGGCAACTCCACTTCTGACTCAGTTCCCTGCTTACGTGCCCGGGGAGACTGTGGATGATGGGCCAAGTGCTCAGGCCCCTGCCACTCCTAGCTGCTGCCTTGGGCCTGGCCCATGTCTAACTGTTGGAGTCACCTGGGAAGTGAACATGTGGAGAGAAGATGGGCCTCCTTCACTCTCTCTGCTTCGCCCTCTTTCTCTGATGCTCTGCCTTTCAACTGAACAAGGAAATGTCTTAAAAAAATTTACTATTTTAGCTTTCCTATCCTAAGCTGGCACAATCTGGCTAATTATCTTTTATTAGAAATGTTTCTATTTAATCAATTTTCAAATTTAGAGGTGTAACATTATTCATAGTACTTACCCAGAAATCTAATTTTCAGTTATGCTGGCTTCATTTTCAAATGATTTGTTTTTGGTTTTTTTTTTTTTTTTCATTTTTGCTGAAAAGCCAGAGATATTTCTGTCATATTAAATTTTGAATTGCTTAATGCTCTTATTCTGTTATCTTGTTTCACTAATTTCTACTTGTGTTAATTCTGTTTATTTTCAGTTGATATTGTTTTTTTCTTCTAAATCCCTGAGTAAATATTCATATACTTGGGCCCAGCACAGCAGCTAAAGTCCTTGCCTTGCATGCACCCAGGATCCCATACGGGTGCCAGTTCTAATTCTGATGACTCTGTTCCCATCTAGCTCCCTGCTTGTGGCCTGTGAAAGCAGCCGAGGGCGACCCACAAAGCCTTGGGACCCTGCACCTGCATGGGAGACCCAGAAGAGGCTCCTGGCTCCTGGCTTTGGATTGGCTGAATTCCAGCTGTTGCGGTCACTTGGGGAGTGAACCAGCAGAAGGAAGATCCTCCTCTCTATGTATCTGACATTCCAATAAAAATAAATAAATCTTTTTAAAAATTCATATTCTCCTGTATTTTAAAAATAATGTTTCAGATTTACATTCATTTCACTCCCCGACAGCCACGGCTGGGCCAGGCTGGAGGGAGAAATGGGGAACTGAGATGAGGTCTCCCTTGTGGACGAATGCATCCAGTGGAGACCTCATCTGCTGCTTCCCAGGGTGCCCAGGTGCACATGAGCAGGAAGCAGAATGGGGACCAACCAGGCACTGGGACAGGAGACGGGTACCTAGTGGTGTCAACTACTGCCCCAAACATCCACCACCTAAGTATCTTGTCATTTTTTCCCCCCATGAATGCTTTTTTTCCAGGCATCTTAACTATAATGTTATTGTAAATAACCATATAACATAATAGAGTTAGAGTTGTATAATATCAATTCTTCAAAATGTGTTATTTTATGAATGCTGGGAAAAGTAATGTATCATAATATTACAGTATCCTAAATGTTTATATGTCTTGATAAATGATTCTCATAATGGCCTTCTAGTGGAGGTAGTTATCTTCATTTTACAGAGGAGAAAATCAAAGTACAGTATGAGCAGTAATGTGCCCAAGGTTCCTCAGGCTATGGAATGCTGAGCTCTTATCTAAAATAAGGACCTGCTTGACACTGCACTTGGCTGTATCAGCTGTCATTGGGAAATTGCTTACTGGCATATCTTCCCTTCATTCCTTTTTTTAAAAATTTTTAAAATGTTTTCTTTTAAATGCCATTGACACAGCTGAGAGGGATGTGCACCCATGGGGGCCTCTGATGAGGGTGGGGAGGGTCAGGTATGGAGGAAGGTGGGTGGGACACATGTTTCAGTGCACAGGGGAGACGGGGGAGGGACCGCTCCTGGCTGTCCTGGGTCCTCTCTTACTCTACAATTCAATCTCATTCTGTGATTTTATTTTCAGTACATCTTTTATAAAAACGTTTCATGTAAAAAATGCAATCTGATCATTGTTAGTAATCAGATTGTACCTACTTGAGATAGTCCCATTAGCTTCTATAGTCCTACTTTGTATTTTAGTCTTTTCTCAGTTTTTTCTGCTTTCTTACTTCATTTTTCAATTATTAAAAATTTTTAACATTCCCATATCTCCTCTGCTGAGTCTTTATGGCCAACAAAGTCAGCCACACTCTGAAACATCAGTTATGGGGCTGGAAAAAAGTCAACTCTGAACAGGATTTTCCTTGATAAAAAAAAAAAAAGAATGAGATTTGGCTTCATGGTGATAAAAAAATAAACTCATTCTGTGAAGGGGTCACTCGGGATAAAGCAACGTTATTGCGATTATTCAAGTTATTCAAGACGTCCTTAAAGGCAAAATCATTCTGAAGTGGGTATTTTTTCTTTGTGTGTGTGCACATGTGAGTATGTTAGAGAAAACAAGATTCTTAAGATGCACAGTCTAAATTACAGAGTTTTCACCCTTCGTGATTCTAATTTTGGTCAAGGCATGAAAGCAGAGCCTTGGGTTTCACACACATGGATTACAGAGTTCTACAACCTTGGAGGCCTCCAGTTCCTTAATCTTCTCCTCAGCCTCTGTCAGTTTATCTTTCAAAGCAGCAATTTCCTTCTCCATGGGCATCACAACAGATCGAAGTTTTTCAGCATCCTCCTGGGCCTGTGGTTAAAGACAATTAAATGTCACAACTTACTCATTTATTGCATTTTCTAAGAAATACTGACTCATCCCTTTACTAAAAATTAACATAATTCTACCATGTGCCATGTTAGCATTTATAAAATCAACTGGTTAAATGATGCATTGCTTTTACGATGAAGCATTCCCCAACACTATGCTTACCATTTGAAGTAGTAGAAATCGATTCACCATGACAAACTTCATGATTAAGTTAGAAAAAAGCCAGTATGAAAGAGGAAATAGACACAGTATTTATAATCCTGGGTTACTAAGTTAAAGAGTTCATCGTTTCTTTTTTTTTGTTTTGTTTTATTATTTTTATCAGAAAGATAGAAAAGATTTTATGATGAGAAGGAGAGACATTAAGAGATCTTCCATCTGCTGGGTCACTCTTCAAACGGTCACAACAGCTGGGGCTGAGCTAGTCCAAAGCCAGGAGCTTCATCTAGGTCTCCCACGTGAGTGCAGGATCCCAAGGCTTTGGGCCATATTCCACTACTTCCCAGGTCGTAAGTAAAGACCTGGATGGAAAGTGGAGCACCCAGAATATGAAGCAGTGTCCATATGGATCCTGGCACTTGTAAGGTAAGGATTTAACCATTGAGCCATTGCACTTAGCCCACTATGTGAGTTATTGTGCACTATTAAAATAATTGGTTATACTTAAACTATAGCCTGTATTTTCTAAAATCTTAGGAAACAAAAAGGCTTCTGTTTGAGGCAGTCTATCCTGATTTGAACACATCACAATGTATACAGGTGTTGAAAAATCACATGACATCCCACAAGAAATTTTTTGGGTCAATTAAAACATTTTTAAAGGCTTCCATTCAATTATTTCAAAAGCAATTTTAAAATATAATGTTGCTTTTACTATCTGAGTGAACCAAACAAAACACAAGCTCCACATGGTTTTCTGAACTCCCTTTTCAAAACATGGATTAAAAAGGAATCAACTGGGCCTCGCACAATAGCCTAGTGGCTAAAGTCCTCACCCCAGGGAGCCCGTGTGGTCACTGATATATATACCCCAGTTACTCTGGTTCCCATCCGGTTCCCTGCTTGTTGCCTCCTGGGAAAGCAGTCGAATATGGCCCAAAGGCTTGGGACTCTACACCCATGTGGGAGACATGGAAGAAGCACCTGGCTCCTGGCTTCAGGTTGGCTCAGCTTCAGCTGTTGTGGCTACTTGGGGAGTGAACCATCGGACGGAAGATCTTCTCTTTCTTCCTCTCTGTATATCTGCCTTTGCAATTAAAAAAAAAGGGGGGGAATCAACCGGGATCAATGTGATGGCTAATCCTCCATCTGCAAGTGCTGACATCCCATATGGGTGCTACTTTGTGTCCTGCCTGCTTCATTTCTCATCCAGCTCCCTGCTTAATGACTGGAAAAGAAGTAGAAGAGGGCCCAAAGCCTTGAAACCCTGGATCCACATGGGAGACCCAGAAGTAGTTCCTGGCTCAGCTCTGGCGATTAATCCAAACTAATCAAAGGCTAAGTTTTCTCAATAGGGATGGGCACTTGGCAGGACTCCTCACTCTGCCAGGAGTGCCTGCTCCAGTTTTGGATCCTTTTCAGATTCCAGCTTCCTGCTAATGAGCACAACAGTTGATGACACAAGTATCTGGCTCCCTGCCACCCACATGGGAGACCCAGACAGAACAACGTAACAGACTCCTGGCTTCACCCTGGCCCAGCACTGAAAGCATCTGAGAATGAACCAGCAAAGAGAGCTCTCTAACTCTCTCTGCCTTTCAAACCAATAAAAATTAAAAAGTAGATTTTCTCAGTGACTAAAAAAAAAAAATCACAACGTATGCCTTGTAGCCCTATTTTCAAGCACATTATGTGTTATATTCATTACACAGGAACCAAGAGATAGAGAGGAAAAGAGGAAAAATAAAACCTGTTCTAAAACTTCAGTTTAGACCTAATCATTAAAAAATTCACATAGTATTTGTTGTGGCAGGCACTGTGGCCCAGTAGGTTGAGTCTCTCTTTGGGATGCCCACATTCCATTTCAGAGTGCCAGTTCAAGTAACTGCTACTCTACACTTCCAATCCAGCTTCCTGCTAACACGCCTGAGAGACAGGGAATAACAGCCCAAGTCCGTGGGTTCCTGCCACTCATGTGGGAGACCCATTTTGTCCTACCTTCATCCTGGCCCATCCCCAACTTGCAAGCATGTGGGGAGTGAAGCAGTACATGAAGGTTGACTGATCAATCTTTCCCCTCTCTGTCACTTTCCCCTTCAAATAAATCAATCTTCTAAAAAAATATGCATGGGACATACATATTCTAGAAGATATTACTCTAGGCATTTAGGACACAAAAATTAGGGTCAGCAGGTTAAGCCATTACTTGAGACGCCTTCATCCCAGACTGGAGTGACAGTTTGGGTCCTGGTTACTCCATAGTGCAGATCCAGCTTGGGCAGCAAAGGATGGTCCATGACCTTGGGCTCCTGCCACCCAGGTGGGAAACAGAAGAGTTCCTGGCTCTTGACTGCAGTTTGGCCCAACCCTAGCAGTTGGGGACATTTGGGAAGCAAACCAGTTGATGTGTAATATTTCTCTGTCTAGGTTTCCTGGTTTCAAGAGCTATCATTCTAGCAGGAGAGAAAGGCAGCAAACATTACACAAAATAAATAGGTCAACTCTACAGATTATAAGGTAACAGGTGCAAAGCAAAGAGTGGCATAGAGAGAATCAGGAATATAGAGATGGTAGAGTGAGGGCAACAGGCAAGCTGCAGTGTGGAGTACAAGGGTCAGGATGGACCTTGTCAAGTAGTGACATTGATGACAGGTTCACCCTGGGGACGGGAGCATCACATTATCTAGCACTACGCTGTGTGTCCAAGCCATTCCTCCAGAGAGAACACAAAACTACTACCACAACCACAAAAGCACTTGGCACTTGCATACACATATTTCTGCAGAGAAACACGTTTCCTTCATACCTTTTTCATTTCGTTTTCTAAATTTTCCTCCTCTTGGCCTTCAGACAGCCTCCTTCTTAAATCAGCTATCTCCCTTTCTGCAGTCTCGCGGTACTGTGCCCACTGCGTTCGCTCTTGCTCCAGCCTAAGGTGGAACTGGTGCTCATAGTCACGAACTGTTTCTACAAAACATCACCAAATATTTCATGTCTCCACATGGTGAATAAAATGCTCTGACACACACCAAAACTGTTTAAATTATTTGAGGAGCTTATGCTAATTTCTAAAACTACTTAAGAAAAAAAAAAAAACATCACATTTCTAGTTTTTAAAATCTGTAGAAACAAGGGTTTTAAATCATCTCTAACTTTCACCATAATTTATGTGTGCCATGTGTTACTTTACACATGAGCAAAATTTAAGAAAGGTTTAACAGTCTGGCCGTTCCTCATAAACAGGAAGCAGAACTAGAATGCAAACTTATGGCCATATTGTGGTGCAGCCGCCTGTATCCTGCACCCACTGCTGATCCAGCTCCCTGCTGATGCAGAGGAAGATGGTCCATGCTCCTGAGCCCCAGCCATCCACAGCAAGTGCTGGATGGAGGCCCTGGCTCCTGGCTTCAGTCTGGTCCAGCACTGCGTTTGGGTGTGAAGGCCATTTGGAGAATAAACCATTGGATGGAAATGTCTGTCTCTAACTTTACATTTCAAATAGATCTATAAATCTTAAAAACACGCATACACACACAAAAGATTTCACATTCTTCACCACAACCAAAATCTATGTTCTCAGACACCTCCCTATGGTTCCCAAGACAACAACGGCACATTACACCAATCTCACTGTCTGAAAGGGTACAAAAGGGGATATATTTCTGTAACACTCAAACGCAACCCCAGATTGTAATCTGAGAAAAGTACAATAAAGTCTTATGAAAAGGTCTTGTTTCAATAAAATACCAGTATCTTTAAGAGAATCTTAAGTTACATCTTTAATATAATCTTAAGCTATATCTTTAATAGAATCTTGTTATGTTAATTAAAAGACACGTAACTGCTGGCCACCTATTAATTTCCATTCCTCCTTCCTTAAAAAAAGAGAGCCCAATTTTGTTCAGGAAGCCCATGTGCCCATTTGATAAACTATACGTTCCTGTTTCATATATGGCGATTGTGAATAACCACACTTGACCCACAAAGACTAAGTGATGCGGAAGATTTCACCTGCAAAGGCAATTTTTTCTTAAAAACCTAAACAATATGGCAATGATAAACCACAAGGGCAGTAATGATCTCGAGGCGGCGTATGCACGTGGCCTCCTGCAATGGGCAAGACCGTGCTGCAGGTCGGCTCCCTTCCGTTCCCACGGGGCTCCTCTCACCCACACGACCTGCCTCGCTTCTATGGAAAAATCTTTAAAACCTTGGTTCACGGGTGAGGCTTAAAAGCAGGGCTGCTCTTCTTTCTAACAGGACATCTTGAATACAGTAGTATAAAGAACCAAAAATGAAACTTGGTATCAATTATAAGGCCCCGGGCCCGGCACAATAGCATAGTAGTTAAGGTCCTCGCATTGAACACACCAGGATCCCATGTGGACGCCAGTTCTAATCCTGGCAGCTCCGCTTCCCATTCAGCTCCCTGCCTGTGGCCTGGGAAAGCAGTAAAAGATGGCCTAAAGCCTTGGGACCCTGCACCTGCATGTGGGAGACCTGGAATGAAGTTCCTGGCTCCTGGCTCTGGATCGGCACAGCACCGGCCATTGTGCTGACTTGGGGAGTGAATCATCGGACGGAAGATCTTCCTCTCTGTCTCTCCTCCTCTCTGTACATCTGCCTTTCCAATAAAATAAATAAATCTTTAAAAAAAAATTATAAGGCCTCTTGAAAAATGTTCTCATAACAATCAGAATCTGTAACTTTAGAAAACCCGCAAACTGCTCTTGGTCTTCACCTTTCATGACAGCCTGCAACGAAGCCACTTCTTCCCTCCACTGCCTTTTCACCTCGTCGATGGCTTCTTGCTTGGTGTTCTCCGAGACGGTGGCTATGGCCTTGATGTTCTCCATCTCAGCTTGAGCTTCCCACAGCTGTGTCCGAAGGTGGCCCAGGTCGTCCTGCGCAGCCTGCAGTACTGCATTCTGTCTCTTCAGGTCCTCTGAGGGGAAAAAGGACAAGCCTTTCCATCAGTGAGGGAGTCACCCGGATCAGGGTGGTGCGCTAAGGGGGAAAAACCAGGCATCACATTCTGAAATAACATGCAAAACTACACCAGTTTAAAAAGAGGTGAGATGTGAATCATTAATGGCCTATTCCCAAAGTGGTTAGGCTTGTAGTAAATTCAGAATGCAATGTTGGCTCTCTCATGGCTGGCTCAATCAATTTGGTCAAATTATTTAACTCTCTGGCTGAAGTTTCCACATCTGGGAAACAGGGATTAAAAATAACCACCTCCAGACCCGGTGCAGTAGCCTAGTGGCTAAAGTCCTTGCCTTGCATGCCCATGTGGGCGTCGGTTCATATCCCGACTGCTCCACTTCCCTTTCAGCTCCCTGCTTGTGGCCTGGGGAGACAGAGGATGGCGCAAGGCCTTGGGACCCTGCACACGCATGAGAACCTGGAAACGGCTACTGCCTTCAGGTTGGTTCAGTCCTGGCCACTTGAGGAGTAAACCAGTGGATGGAAGATTCTTCTGTCTGTGTCTTTCTCTCTGTAAATCTGCCTTTCTGATAAATAAATAAATCTTAAAAAGAAAAAAAGAGTCTATTTTGCTTGAAAGAGTTACAGAGAGACAGAGAGAGACAGATCTTGCAAATGCTGGTTCACTCCCTAAATAGTTGCAATGGCCAGAGCTGGGCTTGTCCAAAGCCAGGAGTCAGGAGCTTCTTCCAGGTTTTTTACATGGGTGCAGGAGCTTAAGGTCTGGGGCCAACCTCTGCTGCTTTCCCAGACCATTAGCAGGGTGCTGGATCAGAAGCAGGGCAGCAAGGATTCGATAAGCTGGCTGCTACACCGCACTGGCCCCATGGGCTTTTAAATACATTTGTCAGTGATCAATATTCCTTCCTCAGTGATATCTTTGTTCCAAATAAACTGGTTCCTTCTAGAAGCGCATGTTCTACACAGTAAGTGTCTCTTTTTTCACAAAACTTTTTCCAGTCTACTTCTATTTATATCTTAAACTGCTTTTTGTACCTTTTTAATATCCATGTGAAAGTCATACTTAGGAGGTTAAAAACTGCTCATCTTTGGGCCCGGCGCGGTGGCGCAAGTGGTTAAAGGTCCTCGCCTTGCACACCCGGGATCCCAGATGGGCGCCGGTTCTAATCCCGGCAGCCCCGCTTCCCTTCCAGCTCCCTGCCTGTGGCCTGGGAAGGCAGTCGAGGACGGCCCAGGGCTTTGGGAACCTGCACCCACGTGGGAGACCCGGAAGAGGCTCCTGGCTTCGGATCGGCATAGTATCGGCCCGTTGCGCTCACTTGGGGAGTGAATCATCGGACGGAAGATCTTCCTCTCTGTCTCTCCTCTCTGTATATCCGCCTTTCCAATGAAAAAATAATAAAAATAAATCTTTAAAAAAAAAAACTGTTAATCTTTGCAAAAAACTGACTTGCAGATTCCTCCACCATCCACACAAGTCACACGGTCACACAGGATCGGCCCATGCCTCCACTCCTCACCAAGACAGTGACAGGGCTCCTTTGCTGCAATCTCCCATCAGTGGTGAAACTCTAGTTCATTTTCCTATCTTCAATATCAGCTGGTCATGAAGACAACACTGTTATTATCAGTCATTAAGAGTTAGTCATCAGTAGCCTCGGTCACAGGAGAGAAAACTCAGTGATACTATTTTTTAACTAAAAGAAATTTTAACACTCGTCAATTTCACACGGGACTCTTACCACAAATGCAAAGAGTGCACGGAAGCATTTTAATGCAAAAGGCTATACTTTAGAAATCTGCGTAGGCCTGTCAATGGAACTAACCCAGCAATGGGATGAAGATACAGACACTGAACCACAGAGGAGAGCATGCAGTGTGTGCGCACAGGTGCAAATGAACTCTATTTCAGTGTTAGACTATTTCATTCAATATAAAAAAAAAGAAATTATTACTTCTGGAATACTTTAGAGGGTTTTCTTTTAAATGTTAATCTCATCTTTCTTCTACTAGAATGGCAAAAATAAGAGTGATCTTCCATCCACTATTTTATTGCTCAAAGGCTTGCAAAAGCCAGGACTGGGCCTGGCAAAAGCCACCTCATCTAGGTCTCCCTTCCGGGTGGCAGTGGACCAAGCACCTGCAGGAAGAGGGATCCGAAGCACAATTGCCAGAACTCAAACAGGCACCCTAATGTGGATGTGCATGTCCCCTGTGGCAGTTTTAGCCACCAGACCACAAGACCTACCCCTGTGTCCAATGCAGTAGCCTAGTGGCTAAAATTCCTGCTTTTGCATATGCCAGGATCCCATATGGGTACCGGTTCATACTCCGGCTACTCTACTTCCCATCCAGCTCCCTACCTATGGCCTGGGAAAACAGTGGAAAGTGGCCCCAAACCTTGCGACCCTACAGCCACATGGGAGACTTGGAAAAGGCTCTAGGATCTTGGCTTTGGATCGGTTCAGCTCCAGCCATTGTGGCTGCTTAGGGAGTGAGTCAGCAGACAGAAGATCTTCCTCTCTGCCTCTCCTGCTATTTATCTGATTTCCCAATAAAAATAAATCTTAAAAAAAAAAAAGACCTACCCCTGAGGATATTTAATTCACCGCTGGACCCTACAAAGTTATCATAACTCAAGCTTATGTATTTAGCATCACCCCATGCTGATTTTCCCCACTCAGAATTGGCGATGACCCAGACCTGTAACTCCCAAGACACTGTGAGCAGAAAAGCTGCCAACAAACACTAACTTTATAATCCATCTCGCACAAGTTTCCACACATTTAAAAGCAGCAATGTTGGGCTGGCTCCGTGGTACAGAAAGCAAATCCTCCATACACAAGGGCCACTATCCCACATGGGCACCAGTTCCTGTCCCAGCTGCCCCACTTCTGATCCAGCTCATTGTTTACAGCCTGAGAAAGCAGCAAAGGCTGGCTCAAATCCTTGGGATGCCGCACGCAAATAGAAGACCCAGAAGAAACTCCTGGCTCCTAGCTTCAAATCAGCTCAGCTCCATCCAGTGGATGGAAGATCTTTCTCTCTCTCTCCCTGTGTATCTGCCTTACAAATAATATCAATCTTTTTTCTAATGTGGGTAAAGTTTTGTGTTGTGTTGTCTTGGTTTTTTTTTAAAAAATTATTTCATTTTTATTGGAAAGTCAGATATACAGAGAGGAGGAGAGACAGAGAGGAGGAGAGACAGAGAGAAAGATCCTCCATCCGTTGATTTATTCCCCACGTGACTGCAACGGCCAGAGCCAAGCCAATCTGAAGAAAGGAGCCTTGAGCCTCTTCTTGGTCTCCTTCACAGATGCAAGGTCCCAAGGCTTTAGGCTGTCTTCTACTGCTTTCCCGGGCCACAAGCAGGGAGCTGGATGGGAAGCAGAGCAGCCAGGACACAAATCAGCACTCCTATGGGATCCTGGCACATACAAGGTGAGGACTTTGTCACTGAGCCACCACAGTGGGTCCTCTAATTCTGAATTTCAAGTAAATAAATTAACCTAAAATATAGAAATTTGTTTATTTTCCTTCTCACAAACCTGCATCTCTATCAGTTCCTTCAGTGACTGGAGGCAAATGCCCCTATTTGTGGTATGCCAGGGGATCTGTTTTTTCCTCACTGCTAACTCAACTACATATAAAATTAGGGATTGACAATTTTTTTTCCCCATGCATTCTGGAGATATTATTTAATTCTCTTCTGGCATTTTCTGTGCTTATGGGGTAGCTCCTTTCAGCGCAATTGCTTTTTCTCTCAGCAATTCTTTTCTTAATTTACCTACCTATGTTTTTACTTATTCAAAAGGGTGAGTTATACAAATAGAGGGATAAAGAGAGATCTTCCATCCACTGGTCCACTCCCCAGAAGGCTGTGGTAGCCAGGACTGGGTCAGGCCGAAGCCAGGAGCTTCTGCAGAGTCTCCCACAGGGGTGTGGGGACCCAGGGACTTGGGTTATCGTTTGCCGTTTTCTCTGGTACATTAGTGGAAAAGGAGGATAGGAAGTAGAACAGCTGGGACTTGAACCGGCACTGTAGGTCAGTGTTGCGGGTAGCAGTGTTGCTGGGACATCAGTGTTGCGGGTAGCAGTTCAGCCCTTGGCACCACAATGCCAGCTCCCCTGGGGTCCTTTTTTTTTTTTTAAACATTTTCTTTTTTAGTCTCGACGTTTTATAGTTTCTATCCAAGAATAAACTTACAATTATTTACCATTCAGTTAAAGACACACATTTTCTGTATCGCTTACGAAATCTGCTACCTCAAATATTTTCTCAAATATGCTGAAGGTTTTCAATCAACAATCAATTCTCAATGCCTTTGATACTTTCTTTGAATATTTCCTCACCCCACATCCCTGACTTTTTCTTCTTCTTCTAGCTGGGAGGGAGAATTCCTCAACATACTTCTGTAATCACTGAAATCACTATCTTGTCTGCAATTTTAATCACTTATGAGCCTTATCTCAAGCTCTGTAACTTCCTTCCGAAATTTTGAATGGCTTGTTTGTTAATTTTGTATGCACTGTTGGTTCATTCCCTCCCTAAGTGTAAGCTCATGACACCTGACCCTCAGCTTCCCACCCTTCCTTTTCACCGCTGGAATTCTGGTTGGCATCGGGGCTCTACACACAGACCACAAGTGCCCACAGGCGAAGTCCTTCCGGGTACTACCAGACACTCGCTCTGTCTTCTGATGCTTCATGGGCTCCACTGCTCTCAGTTTCCCTCAGCTGGAGAAGGCTCAGGACTTCCGCTTGGTGTTTGCTGTCCTAGGCTCCTACTCACTGCCCCCAACTAAGGGGATCCAAGCCACAGACATTCCCACAGCACCAGCCTCTGTACTGCAGCTGGCCAGAAGAGGAAAGCTGAATCAGAAAACAGTTTTTCTCAAGTCCAACAGACATCAACAGAACTCTCAGAGAGTGTGTATCACTTCCAGTAGCAGTCAGCTGGGGGGTGGAGAGGAAAGGAAGGTATACTAAGGCAAAAAC